AAGGGGTCTTTAATACTATTCTTAGGAATGTAACATTAAAAAAAAACTTTGTAGACACTGGATATTATGGTTGTGCTGTGCATGCAGCAGACAATCAGAGAAACAATATTAAGGTGGTTATTTAAATTGAAAATATATTTAATTCCAAACTATGACACTAACTATTATTTCAACTGTATATTTTCAGAAACAATATCAGTACAAATAGCGCCACTTACGTTCTTACGCAACGCAATCTAATATGACTTTCTATTTCTTGAACAAGTTACTTCGACTATTGTTATTTTGTGTCGTGTGACGTCACAAAACAACACCAGCCTACAGATGAGTAAACAAAGTCGAGCGCGCTTTCTTATCTTGAAATTTCTCATTAAACCCTCTCATACCGAAGCAGCGCGCTACATTGTCGCAGACAGCTCGCCGAGATATGTCGCTGGAGTTATCCGGTATAATTACATAATACTCCAACATACGTCACAGTGATTACTGGACGGGTGCTGGGGAAGTTGAGGCGGGCGGGGGGTAGCGCAACAGGCGCCAACTGATCAATGAGAGCCCCGCGCACCCTGCGCCGCACTTGTTGCGCGCACGACTCGTGAGGGATACTAATAGCATCCGATCCGACCGACGTCTCGTTAAAAATAAAACAACATCGAATAGAATAGGTTTTTTTTCAAGGCGCAGCAAATTACTCCACTTATGCAACGCTGCTCCAGAATCACACACAACATTATAGAATATATTTTTTTTACTTCTTCTGTAAGGTATGGTAAAACTAAAGGATACACTGCACAGACATTGCCATTGTTTAGAGAACTTTTGAAGTGTTTAAATATTAATCGAAATCAAGAATCGAATAAACTGTATCAGATGAAAGAAAAAAAGTTAAGTTCAGGATGAAACCGCGACGGAACCAGTCCAGGCAAATGCGAATGACAAAGAATACGAAACCTAAACATACTAAAGAACAAAAAGCTATTTTTTTATTCATTTATTATAAAAATCTACCTAGTACATTACAAAGTTTCAGATTCACTACGCGGCCCCGGTGAGGATTGGTGGATCTAAAACTGAAGATAATAAGTTTTTTGTTACCCATCCAATAACCGACCATTGCGAAAGTAGCTTAGCTTTAACGATCGCAGGCCGAATGGACTAACCACCTGCGCCATCGAGCTCCTCAATTTTTATTGTTATGTAACGTTTGAAACCTCACCTTATATTAGTAAAAAAAGAAATTAAACCTACTACAAAAGGAATAAGCCATTTCAACATTATGTTCTAAAATCGACTTCCAGTTACACACTTCCGTCCCATTTTACGAAATCACTCCCACAAATTGCAGGAAAGCAAGAGGATAGATGTTACACATAAAAACGAGCGAGCCGTACAGTAGCCGCGTATGATGTGTAACATTTAAATTCTCACCTTAAATTAGTAAAAAAGGAAATAAAAGCTACTACAAAAAGAATAAGCCATTTGAACATTATGTTCTAAAATCAAATCAAATAGCGCGCGCTTTCGCGACTTCCTGTTACACATTTCCGTCCCATTTCACGAAATCACTCCCACAAATTGCAGGAAAGCGAGAGGAAAGATGTTACACATCAATAAGTTGACGAATAAGTCGAGTGGGGTATCACTGTCTAGATAATTAAAAATCATGTTTAGGTTTCTAACATGAATTAAAAAAAATGTGTCTGTTTAGGATCTACAACGATTGAAAGTTGTATATCAACCATTTGCTGTTTTTAATTTCAATTTTATGTTTGTATGGATCTTTGCTACTCTTTCACGCAAAAAGTACTGAACGGATTTTAAAGATACTTGACAATAATATAGCTCATACATAATAATAATATCTAGATTATAATTTCTGAATCTATTGAGTGAATTGGCCAAAATATAACAATAAATGCGACCCATTAGATACTCTAGAATGGATCTATTTTTTATCAATAATGGGTCCCGACTGTTAAAGTAGCTTTGTTCTGTACTCAGCAAAATTATAGACTATTGGACTTGTTTTATTCTTTTAAATTTTTATTTCAGATAATTTTCAAGCAGTCGGGTTTTTTGATTTTTTAAATTTACCTTTTTTTTACGTTCAAGTCGGATCGGAACGTCTGTAAACTCCAAATATAAACCAAACAAAATATCCACCGTCAACTTTGAGGCGAAGACACAAGCCCCATAATGCCAACACCGTCGCTCAAGTGCGTCGCTCACATTAACTTGTATTACTTAAGCGACTGTCTGTTTGAATGCTCCAATCCAACATAGCAAATATAGCTACACAGTAAGTCATTTCTACTTTTTACGGTTTCAGAGAAGTGGAGCTGGATGTCACGCGAATGCATAGAGCAACGCGGCCGACGCGGCCGATGGGTAGTAGGCATTCACAAAAAATGCTAAAATGTTATGTAATTTTTTGTAAAACATCTGGAATAATAACCTTACAAAAGGTAAACATATTATTTCTATTTAAACACTTAAAAATTGAAGTTTAGCAAAATAATATGAATTTTGTTATATTATTTTGCTAAACTTCAATCGTCGGACTTGTTTGACAAAACATTCGACTCGCCAGTACGAATTTCAGATCTGTCAATAAAAAATCTTAAGTTTCATTTATATGCCCGATTTAGTGCTGTCATTTTTTCGCGCTGTGTCGTAATTACTTGTACCTATATATAATAAATTGGCCATGCCCAGAAAACTTGAACTGAAATAAATATATATTTTTTTCCTTTTCATGTAAGTAGTTCTACTACTTATTTCTATCCTTATAGTACAGGATATTAAAGAAGATTCTACACGTTTAAGCCCGTCTAAGCCCCTTCTATAGAGAGCCACCCTTCTTAATATTAAGTGTAAGTGCAGTCCCTTTGCGAAGATAGCTTAATTAAACAGAGAAACTAGTCGCTGTATAAGTATAGGAAGAAGTTAGTATGAAATGAAGTGTGAAGCTGCTTACGGATAGTGTTTCACGGTACACATAGCTGGCTACGCGTTCCCTTGAACGCCATATAAATACTTGTAGCTACACATATCCTCCACTAATTACAACTCAGGCTACATAATTAAAGAGGAAAAACCCTTTAGAAGACTGGTCATAATCAGACGCTTAATGATTCAATACCACTACGTACTTTACTGTAGAGGTTTGGACTTTTGTTGTCAATGATATACGGGTCGAATGACCCTGTAGATCGAATACATTGTTACGAGCACTGAACCATGCCAAAAAACTGTAAATCTTGTTCTATTGGTTTTTCATTAGCTTTTATGATAAACCGCCTGATATTGTTTGATAGCACAGTAGTAGTGAAGGTCAGTTGCAAAAATGGCTAATACGCTAATTATAGAAACCTGACGCTCTAGCTAACCATAGCGTTTATCCCATTCTTTTCATCTTTTTGTTAAACAATGTTGCAACGATCTGAAGAAGACCCTGTTTTTTTAACAAAATACTATGGACCGATGAGTCTCGATTTGAAAGGACTGGGGTATTCAATATGCATAATTACCATAGCTGGGCCATAGAAAACCCAATGGTGTCATGTAACACCTGGTTTTGTACCCTTGTGTATCCTTCAACGGTCAAGTCACACAACATAAACTATAATCATAAAGAAATCGCAGTAAGGAACCTTAGACTTGGCACGACTTTGTCTTTATTTCATTACGTTTTAGAGATAAACAAGCAGCTCCATCGAGACTTGGCTAGTTTTTTACAGAATGTTTTTTGGTGGGATTTCACTTCTTTTTGTAGAAACGTGGGCATATTGATTGATTGATCGATCGAAAACTAAGAAAATCCCGGAACATACATGGGGTATTTTCGAATAACCCCAGGTGCGAAGAATCTAAAAAAAATGTTGACGTCACTAGTTAGACCACCCTGTATATGAATAAATCTGGTGTCCACCACGCTAGCGTTCACCACATTAAACTCGAGTTGTTAACTATGCTATTAATGAGAGCGCATGTAGTGCCGAATTAGTGCAAAAATAAAATAACTTCCACTTTACTTATGAAAATAATGACTGTTTTCATTATGTAGGTACGCTGGCGTGACGATCAAGCTAGCGTACACCATGCCATACTCGGAAAGGGCTAAGCAACCTAATTTTCAGAGAATATAGTGCTGTAATTGGAACGAATATATAGAAGAAGTCCATTAAATAACCTTTGGAGCTCGCGTCATGGTAGCGTACACCAAATAATGTAAAAAGGTTATTTAAAGGTCTTGTTCTAAATTGTCGTTCCTTTATAAGTTATCATTATGAAATTTTGCAGTTTGGGCGTTATTAGAGCACTGTTTTTTTGTGAAAATTTGGTTGCTTTACAATAAATAATAAACAAACAACGCTAGCTTGATCGTCACGCCAGCGTAAACAGTGAAAACAGTCATTATTTCCTAAACTAAAGAAAAGGCTTTTTTATTTTTACACTAATTAGGCACTATAACTTGTACTTACGCACTAATTAATTTGTATAGTTAACCACTTCGAATTTGATGTGGTGTACGCTAGCATGGCGGACACTTGCTTTATCTACCAACTAAGGACTGAGTATCAAAATCGTAAGTCCATGGTTTTTATACTCTTATGACTTTTCCTGAAAAATGAAAAATCTTGATAATTTTTTTAAGAATGAAATTACTCGAGTTATGGAATTAATCGAGTTCAGAATTTTAATTGTTTTTAACTTTTTTTATGTTGCCTGCTCTTATAAAAGTTGGCTGTATGATACAACAAACCATATGCCTCAGAATTTAAAAAACAAAACCCATATAAAAATGTGAATGGACGTCAAATTCCTATTTATACATTTTGTAATTTTTTCCTGTACTATCGTAACAACAGTTATCATACTAATTTGATAAGAATATTTGATTTAGTTGCCTACAAAGAAGATCTATGTTATACGATAAGTACGTAACTTGTGACCTTGTTTTGCCATAGCTGTGTGTCGGCAAGCTAACACAAACGATCATGAAAAGTGTGAATGGAAAGATTTGGCGTAACTCCGCATCTTTAATACTACTCAGTAAGCGGTATCGTGATTTTGTATCGTGCCGCAGCGGCAGTGTTAATTACGACGTGTTGTTGCAGACTCGTGCGGTATCTGCATCGTTCCCAAACTCGGTTGTGTTCCCCGGCGGGGTTGCGGAACCTGTGGACGAGAACGTAGACTGGCTTCATCACCTCCAGTCGTTCGGCTACACACAGAACGACTTCAATGCGTTTCATCTTGCAAACACTCCGTCAACACCCATATTCCAACCAGACCCTATAAAAAGGTACTTTCCTTATCTTTTGATACCAATCACTATTCAAACATACTTTACTAAGTAGTTGACATAACTTCAGCTACTGTTTTCATAATTTTTAATACAACCAAAACATTACACAAATTGTTCATTCTGGTTTTGTATCACAAGGCAATGCTGACCTACAACTGTTTTATAACAATACCTTGACATGTCTGTCATTGTATGTATACAATTAACTACTTAACAAGACAACTTGAGCTAAAAACTTATTCTTATATTTCACTTTAAAATTAAGTAGTTAGTTGGTTATTTTCTTTTACATTAAGATTTTATTATCGGCACATTTATTTCACAGGCATATTTCTCTAAGAATAACTGCTATTAGAGAAACTTTTGAAGAGCTAGGTGTGCTCATCTGTAGTAGAACACATAAAGGGAAGAAAACACAGCTAAGTGCTGATTTAATTTCAGACATAGATATTAAATCTTGGCAGAAAAAAGTAGGTATATTACAACTGCATGTTTTTTTTCAATAAATTTCTGACCCTCCAGCATGAGCATGACCAATGTAACATATTTCTTAGCAATTTATCTACATCTATAAAAAGGAATATTTTCTCTAATTATGTATAGATAAATAATTGCTGTATTGTTTCATTTGCTAATGGTCATGCTATGGATGCTGAATTGAGTGGTGTTAAGCAGAAAGCAACCAGGGGGCATTTTTGGGATCAAACAGAATCTAAATTAAACATAGATTCATGAAACAAATATTCAATTGTCCCATATATGCCCACTGGTCGCTTTCTGCTTACCAATGCTCAATTGATTCTTTAAACTTATTAGATTTTCATAATCTACTTTTCTTTTAACTTATGTAAAAGATTCCATCAAGGTGATAAACTTTTAGGTTGCATTCCCTTTCTCTTCTTCAGAGTTGAAAGATTGTGTTCATTAATTCCGTTCTTGATAACGAAACAAAATTATTCTGTAAGTAGTTATATTGTGGTGTGTCTGTCTGCCATTCCAAAACTTGTTTCAAACTAGAATTATGATTTGGAACGGCAAACAGACACATTGCAAAAATTTACCTAAATGTATGTGCTGTCAATAATCCTCTTATCACCCTTAAAGATTATATTTACTCAAAGAAAGTGAAATATGATGGCAACTAACTAAACTGTAAATAATGCTCCACAATTATAAATAAAACTTATTGTGTGATTGAAATCAATGATTATAATTTTTTGTTGCTTACAATATTAATGGGTTCATGTGCACATGTTTAAATATTTTGTTATATTAGATATTAGCGAATGATCTGATGGGATGATAATATAAAATGCTTAGCGAAGTTTCGGTAGCATATAACTACTGAAAAATATTTTTTTTATACATTTATCGTGCGACCAGTCTTCTCGACTATGATCAGATTGGTTATGAAAGATATTGTGCATAGTCTAGTGCTCTATTGGGGCATCCAACTCCTCTATAAAATAGCCTAAGCTGAGTTTTCCATATCCGGTAATTTGTGCCTTTTCAGACGTCTTACAGTATCCAGCAACTTGTTTGGCCAGTGTATTCGGGTGGTAGTCTAGTCTAACCTTGCATTGGAGTTAAAAAGCTAAACTGTTTGCTGTTTGTTTTTAAATAAATGATAGAAAGCTTTGATCATTCTTGAAAATCAACACATTGTGAATTTTCAGGTAAGCAGCAATCCAGAAGAACTCCTAAATCTATGTAAAGAACACAAGTGCTATCCTGATATATGGTCCCTTCACTTCTGGAGCAATTGGTTGTCACCTGTAGCCTTGCCAAAAAGATTTGATACAGCTTTCTTTGTGGCGGCACTGGATAATGAAATACCCCAAATAAGTAATAACTCTGAAGTCACAGATGTAAAGGTACTTAAAACTTGATTGATGATTCATGTACCTACTACTATTTAGCACTCTACAATACTTTTAAAATTACATTGTTCAAGATTTTATATATATTCTATTTTATTTTTTTCTAGTGGTCCAGTCCCCAAGAAATATTAGAAAAAAACCTAAGAAAAGAATTGGAACTATATCCTCCACAAGCCTATGAATTAAATCGGCTTATACACTTCAGCGACATTGATGTGTTAGTTAAATATGCAGCTGAAAGAAGCAGTAGTGGTTGCGAGTTGATTTACCCTGTTGTTGTTGAAGCAAAAGATGGAAAAATACACGTTCTCCCTGGTAAGATTAGTATTATATTTTAATATTATTTTACATAAAAGTTGTAAGGTATTAAATTTGTATTTCTTTCCAGGTGACGATTTGTACCCGTTAAATGTAAATTATAAAGAAGGTGCAAACATACTTCATCCTGAAAAAACTATTTTAGAGCTGAGAGAAAACTGTCATATGCTACACCGATTAGAAATAACATCTTTGAAAGAATTCAAAACAGAATTTGTGTTTCGCAACCACCATCCTCCTGACCATATAAATATGGGTGACAAAATAATCTCGGTTAACTCAACACTTCATAAAAATGTTAAGTAACAAGCCTTAATAGTTGGCCTTATTAGAGAAGTACAAAACTAATTTTAAAAACAAATATAATATTGATATACTTCTTGATATTGAATAAATCTTCCTAATAAAAATGGCAACCTCTGGTCACACATGGCCTAACAGCCAGGATGACTATGAACTGCTAGAGGTGATCGGTGTTGGTGCTACCGCAGTCGTGCACGCCGCATACTGCATCCCGCGCGGGGAGAAATGTGCTATAAAGAGAATAAACTTAGAAAAATGGAATACCTCCATGGATGAACTGCTAAAGGAAATACAAGCCATGTCCAGCTGCAACCACGAAAACGTCGTCACATACTACACCAGTTTTGTCGTCAAGGAGGAACTGTGGCTCGTACTCAGGCTATTAGAAGGTGGCAGCCTTTTAGACATTATAAAGCACAAAATGAGAATTTCGAACTGCAAACACGGTGTATTCGACGAAGCCACCATAGCTACAGTTTTGAAAGAAGTATTGAAGGGTCTAGAGTATTTCCACCAGAATGGACAGATACACAGGGATATAAAGGCCGGTAATATACTTCTGGGCGACGATGGAACAGTGCAAATCGCCGATTTCGGCGTGTCGGCGTGGCTCGCGACAGGACGAGACCTGTCGCGGCAGAAGGTGCGCCACACGTTCGTGGGCACGCCCTGCTGGATGGCGCCCGAGGTGATGGAGCAGAACCACGGCTACGACTTCAAAGCGGACATCTGGTCGTTCGGCATCACCGCGATAGAGATGGCGACCGGCACTGCGCCCTACCACAAGTACCCGCCGATGAAAGTCCTCATGCTCACTCTGCAAAACGACCCGCCGACGCTCGACACCGGCGCCGAGGATAAGGACCAGTACAAGGCGTACGGCAAGACCTTCCGGAAAATGATATCAGAGTGCCTGCAGAAAGACCCGACGAAACGGCCGTCGGCGCCAGAGCTGCTGAAGCACTCGTTCTTCAAGAAGGCCAAGGACCGCAAGTATCTAGTGCAAACGCTGGTATCGATCGGGCCGAGCATGGAAACGCGCGTCCACAAAGCTAGCAAACGGCAGCCGGGTACTTCCGGCCGCTTACATCGCATGGAGACCGGCGAGTGGGTGTGGGAGAGCGACGAGGAGGACGCCGACGAGGAGGGCGAGGCCGGACGGGACCGGCCCATGAACCAACTGCCCCGCGCCGACTCCTCGGATTCCGACAGTGATGAGACGGAACGCGCCGGCTTCACCATCGGCTCGATAGACGCGGGCGAGGCTCCGCCGCAGATCGACCTGGTGCTGCGCATGCGCAACGCTCGCAACGAGCTCAACGATATCCGATTCGAGTTCGCGCCCGGCAAGGACTCGGCGGACGGCATCGCCACGGAGCTTGTCGGGGCTGGGTTGGTGGACGCGCGAGACGCGAGTGCTATAGCGGCGCAGCTGCAGAGACTCGTGGACGCGCAGCTGTACGGAGGCGCCGCGTCGTCGCCGCCGCCGCGATCGCTCACCTTCCGCCTGGAGTCGCACGACGCCGCCGTGCCGCCCGACGAGAAGGGCCTCATCGGCTACGCGCAGATCTCCATTGTCGACTGACGCAACGCCTCGGCTCCGGCCGATGACGACAGTGGTCCTCTCCACGCGAGTCGACCGCTCCCTCGGACGAGCAATCTTATCTCTTGAACGGTGTAAACTATTTGTGCGGGGTCGGAACCATCGTATCTTTTATGAATTTAATTTATCATTATTACATACTATCATTTTATGCTTCGTATTCTATAAGTTTATAAATGCAGCGACCGAAGTGGGGTAGATGTGGTTTTCGAGGATCATGAAGTTTCCGCAGTGCTCGTGCGCGATACCCGATCGGTGACTTCGTGACCTAGGTGCCATAAAATGGAGAGACTGCGTGGTACTGTTACTGAACTTGAATGTTACAACTATAATGCGTGATATGTATGTAGCGCCACAGTTCTTATTATGTTGTTACTTGTTTGTTGCTTACTTTGGATTTTTTTTATAATAAAAATTGGAATCATTTATATTAGTTTCAATGTAGTTATTTTTTTTAACATTTAACTGCTAGTTGTATTTTAACATAAGACTTCATGAGCACTACAATGTATTTACAAACGCAGCAATAAAATTACTTTTTGCAATAAATTACTTGATATAAGGCATTGTGTCTCACGACACACGTGTGAACTCGTGACCGCGGTCAATGAACCGCCGGCGACGCCACGTCACGCTCATATTGTTGACAATTCATTTTCCACATAGAAAACTCAAACATTGTGCTCGTGTGACCTTGCAAGTTTCTAAAGAGAACTCTACGAATGTATTGACTTGATTGGTTCTGGCCTTTGTTATCACAGCAAACTCTTTAATTATATTTTATTTATTAACTTTAATAAAGTCTACTTGGTGTCATTGGAAGTATCGTAAAACGTAGCAACGTTTTGTGATCTTTGATTACCTTTGAAGCTGAATATAATAAATGGAGAAATTGAAATATTTTGGTGAGATGATGAAATGTTACTCAATATTTTCAGTAGTTTCTTATGTGTGTTTTGGTGTGCAGATTTACACTGTGTAGGTAGCGCCGAACTTCTTAAACTGTACGACTGATAACGGCGCCTGCGCAGTAGCAATTTTACACAGAAAAACGTCTCCTACGCAAGTATATTTGTCTATGGTTTACTTTCAAAAGTTTGCCGCTTCCAAAATAAATAAAAGATGTTTAGTACAGGCACAGTAGATACAACCATTTAGCTGGCACAGAGGGCACTTGACTCTAGCAAAAATTTGCACTTTAAAACTTAATATTTCAAAAACGGATCCCTTATGCCAAAATTGTCTACTCATCACAAACCCTCAATATTTTTAAAAACCTATCCACTGACACCTCACACCATGGGTAGATAGAAGACTACAGAAATACAACACAGCCAAGAGATATTGTTATTTCACTGAGGTCTTCTGTAAGCTATAGGTAAACGCATTGTTTATTCTGAATTCGAAATGCATGTCTGCTCTTTCTTACACATAGCAGCTGTAATAACATCACGTTCAATTTTAAGCCAGTTGCAATTTTACAAAATTAGCAACTAATAGCCATATAAAGCGCAATTTGATTAATATTGCAAATTTGGAAATTTTATAGGTATTGAAAGTATACAAATAAAATGCCAATTTAAGAAAATTCTTTACTATTGAGATATTTTAAACATGATCGTTATAGAAAGTGTCCTATTACACCTTCTAGTATCTGTACAAAGCATTTTCAGTAAGCGAACGGTTACCAACAGTTTATAAAACTGAGATATTTATAACTAATTTACAAAGAGACAACTTTAAAAAATAATTTTCTGTGCAATTTCACGATTGCTCATTTTAAATGAAGTAAGTATATAATAATAACTATGAGAATAAGATAATAATAAAATGACTAGTCAGAAGATAGAAAGCATCTTTAAAATTTATATAAAACTATTTTGCAGTATTAATGCATAAAACTCTGGATACTTAGAAAAGAATGAGGAACAATCATTATAACTACAAACAAAATGTTAATGAACATTATTATTATAACCAATTCCATTTTTAGGATTGAAAGCTTTAAGAACAATAATTTAATTTTATAATTCTATAAATGCATCATACTCCATTTTGAAACTGCTATACAATTTACAGATGTTTCGTGTTACTAAAATACCTAATTAAAACAAACATCCTATCAACCTATATTTCTCCAGAACAATAAGATATCGGTCATTAAAGCAATAACCATCCAACAACATTTAAGAAATATTTAAGCAAAATGTGTTGTTTGTGCGTCATTCATACTAAAGCTGATCGCACATTTGTCAGCACGAACGCGCCACATTTCCATTTATACTACCTACAAAATGCAGCGCGTATGGTGAGAGTGGAAGTATGCGAGGTTTCATATGATTGCATACAACGATATCTAAATGCGGCGCGTATGGTGCTTATATGTGCGGTCATCTTAACACTTTCATTATGATTGTTCATACATTTAGAAAGGAGTATATTTAAATGACTCCAAATCTAAATTATCGGCAAAAAATACAAACGTAATTTGACTTTCCTGTGCATGAAGTTTTCTGAGTATCATATAAAAAAATACCAATTTAAATACGCTTATCAAACGTACAATTACTTACGGGGGCTTGTAGATGTGCAATCGAAGAAGTTTGCCGTTTGCTTATTTTTAGATAATCTGATGATAATTGATTTAAATAATTTAGTGCTCTTAATATAATGTGCGTGTCCTATTATAAAGATTTAGCAGAAACTTTAAAAAATTGTAGCCAGAAGGATCAGTAGCTGTTGTGAGTCGAACACTACGACTTACCAAATGTGGGCTCAGACGAAACGCCTCAATTTTCATGTTACGGTATCTGACCAATTTAAATAATTTTAATGAATGGTGGTGGTAATATTTAGAAGGTAATTTGTAGGACTAAGTACAAAAGGTCCCCCTTGGAAGGTACGCACATCTAAACATAGACTAGACATTGGCCAAAACTCTAACCCACTTATTAATAAATAAAGACTAAGCTTGGATTAGTTACTCCTTGTTTTATCTCTGTCTATTGAATGGCAAATGGTATTACAATAACATGAACAAAACACGGCCTAACTAATCTAAGCTTATTCCTTGTTTATTAATGAGGGGATTAATAGCCATTGCACATGGAATAAACAAAAATAGTTCGGAAGCAGATCACATTAGCGAAAGGATTAATGGAAGAGCAACCAAAATCAATATCGATCGTGTTCAAATGATAAATCAACAAAGTAACTGACACAGCTAACTTCTTCGATAACTAGAGGTACCTACGTTAAAACAACTATATTCTCTTGTTAAACTTAGCGTTTTACTACATCATTCAACATCTGGACGACGGAATATTTTCAACATGTTCCCCGTTTTCTAAAAGTAGTTATACGTAAGTTGTAATTGTACTCAAATCCCTCTCTCTCACTAGACACACATTCAGTAACCTCTATAAGTACAAACAGCAAATGACTAAGAAAATATATAAGTACCTAAGATCTTCTAAACCTTATAGCCAAGTAACAACCTCTCATACAAATAAAAAAGCTAATCAAAAAGTGATATTAATCAGAAAATATAAAGTTACTATCAAAATAAATTAATGTCAGTTTAAAACCGCTTAAAAGACTAGTAGAGACAAAATAGAAAAAATGGTTTGCATTTTTAAAACCGAAACCTGGTTATGGCACATTAAATTTGAACTAAACCTAATTTTAATTACAACTATAAAAGTTATTTTGTGCCAGTAAGCGTTTGTGCATTAGTTTAAATAATATTACAGCGTCAATGGTTATCACAGTGAACTTTTATGAGTGTGATATAGGCAAGCTAAATTTAATTCAAAATCTTTACAAGTTTATGTAGTGAAATGCATTATTATTATTACATTTACAAAAACAGTGCTCGCAATATATCTTTAATCTATTTTGACACCAAACGCAGAAAAGTTTAACATAATATAAAAAACTCAATTTAGTTTTCGGCATTCTTGGCCATTGTGGCTTCAAATAATCAAAATTAATCTTAACACAACTTATCAAATCAATGAGAGTAACCAAATGAAAGTTCACTTCTAACATTAACAGAAAACAAAGTTTAAATGGAAGACTAATAAATGCGAAATGGAATGATGAAAGAAAAAGTGTATATGATTTTATAGCAGGCTAATTGCATAAGATACTTTGAAAAGTTAATTGCAATGCCTTTTTGTAGCAAGAATAGCTAAACGTTCAATTGACATGATCACGTTTCGTGCGCACTTGACCTCGACCTTCATAAAAACTTGTGACAAACAAGAGTTGCCATACTTCCCGAAAATACAAGAATTCTTCCATTTTGCACTTGAGGTTTTTGCACAATTTAACATTTATTTTTAATTAGGAACCGTCAAAATGTGCACCGATAGATGTGTCCGAAAGTGTATTTCAAATGGAAAGGGTGGCCGCTAAAATGAGACTTCCAAGAGACACTCCTATTTTGTTAAGGTTTATAACCAATGCTTAAACTTGTTTATTATAAGAAAAAATCAAATCGACATATTAAAAAATAGACCGAAAAATACTTCGTTATTTTTTTTAGTCATCTCAATTTTACTTCGTCGTAAAAACGATACCTAAATATCGTTGTTTTTACTCATGTTTTCATTTTTCTACTAAGCACTCGACTTTAGTCAAGGTCGTTATAACAATTCTATTAACACGTTTATAAATAGAGATGATATAAGCCTCGTCACGATTTACCGTTTCAATTAAACAGTTGTAAATTAATTAACACACTTGCAAATTGGTATAATATCTTTTCTCGGTGCTAGTTTGCTGTCGGTACTATTGACCACTCTTGTTTAATTAATGATTTGCAAACATTTTTACGCAAGGCAATGGGTCAAGTCTACACGCAAATCAGAATATGTTATCCTCATTGTTAAGTACAAAAGTTAATAATAATCCTAAGGTCACACGCCGTCCGTTACAACCAATAAAATAAAAACCTACCTACTGAACAGCGCATCGTATAAAAAAATAAAACATCTAAATAAATAACAAATATTTGAGAAAGTGCAACAGTGTAAATATAATAAAGACGTACATTGACTCGTTTGATTTATCAGTCGATACACAAACGCGCATACAAAACCTAGACGGTGTGCGATGAACCAAACTAACGTGATGATCAAACGCACGAGTATACAATAATGAGATGAGAGGCCCAAGCGCGAATTTCGACAGCGCCGTATTCGTATCAATACGATAGCGTCAAATTTCGTAAAGAAAAAGCTAGTTTGTCTTACGTCCTATAGAGGGCGCTGCTTAGTTTTCATAAAAACTGACGATGCGATGCGACTGCGCAGCTGTCTTAATTCGTGCTTGGGCCTCTGAACTCGAAACGAAGGAGACTGGACTCTACGGAACCTAATCTTAAGAGTAGTTGTACTATAAAAGAAGCGTATTTACGTCGACGAGGCAGCTCGTTGCCGTTGGCATCCCCGCCGGGGCTGATGGGAATCAAAAGAGTTCGACGATTTTCCGCCGGAGATATTCCTTGAGGGGGGCGTAGTAGTGGCGGCGAAGGGAGAGGATTTCGGGGCGCCTTTTTAGGTCGCGGAAGGGGGCCCAGTCTGTTTCGAATACGAGGAGAGCGGCTATGGCTAAGGAGGCCCAGACGAATAGGAAGGAGGGGACGAACGCGCGGATGAGACTGAAAGGTCTAGGGGCGGGAGGCAGGGCCCCTGTTGATACGCGCCCCCAGTCGTCCCCCGCGCCGGGCCCTGACGCCGGCCCTGTTCCCATCCCCGCCCCGCCTACTGTCGTGTGACTGACGTGTGTTACCCCCGACTCTGATGACGAATGCTCGAATGAATCCCGCAGCCCGTACTCTGTCGTGCAAGCTGTAGGGGTAAACAAATATTATTTAATAAAACAATTGAAACAAAGCCGAGTGTCTCCAGCGCGTGTTTTACCCTACACAATCAACAAAAACATATCAACATTCAACAAACTACACAAAACTTTGTTCGACTACACAACAATAAACGTATCCAATTCCCCGTAAAACAAATGCCTCGGCAACATTTTTTAATCGTAAAACTGTAAAAACATATTTTTCTCAAAAATTACGGTCTGTCGTGAATGTTATTTAAGTTATCGCCATTTTGCTATCAAGAAAAGGACAACAAAGCAACTCAGCCGTTTGTAGAGAGACTAAAGAAAACGCGGTCGCCAAGCTAAGCGACGCGGATTCGTCGTTTCGCTCGCACTGCATTGAAGCGTACAGTTCTGTCTCGCTCGCTCGATTGAATGTTTATTTACAGACGTATGCGTGAGTGAGAGTTGCTTATGTAAGTTGAGTCGGAGCATATTTTATTTGACACTAGTGTCTAGTATGAGCGTACCGTATCTTCCCTTTTTGTTTTAATCTAAGCAGTATTCAGTGTCACTCACGCCTGTCATCGGGGGGATGCAAGTGGTCGCCGCAGCAGGCTAGAGCGATGTCGACGGCGGGTCCGGATAGAAGACAGCCTCCGTTACAAGGCTCCCCTGCTGCGCTGCTTTCTTCTAAAGGCGCACTGTGAGTAGATCGAGGTAGACTGCTGTACCCTGTTAAAAGAATACTAATATTATGTAGGTGATTACGGGGTAAACAAAATTATATTTAGTCCGTCAGTTAGATTCTTCATCATCATCAACCTGTTTATGTCCTAACTGCGGGGCCACAGGCCTTCCCTATGGATGGAATAATGAGATTGGGGCATGTCATGATCCATCACGCGGGCCTGCGGAATCTTGGATGCTAACGACTGCAGATGCAGCCGGGACCAACTGTTTAACGTGCCTTTCGAAACAGGGAGGACATTGAGATAATAAGTTTTTGGTTATCCAACCAATAACTGACCAATGTGAAAGTTGCTCAACTTCCACGATCACAGGCCGAACGCACTATCCAACTGCGCCTTCGAGCTGCTCAATATATCCTAGTATTCTAATCATATTATGTAGGTACAGTACATATGTATAATGAATTATCGCAGTCAAGCGACAAGCTATTTTGAATTTAAATTATGATTTTTGTTTATTTATTATTACATTGTTTATATTATTTTAACAATTATATTGACATTTGCTTATTGAATTAGAATTATATGGATTTGACATAAGTAATATATTATTGCATATTAAATTTTGATTTGAAATTTGGATTTCGAATTAATTACATGTTTATAATTTTATATTTACTCGTATATATTAAGGATGAGCCTGCCTCTCATAACACAGAGTAAGCTTATATGAGAGCTGTTTTAATTTTGTACAAACAAAAATATTTTGAATAAAGAAATATTTCATTTTAAATTTTTATGCCAATATTGACTGTCAAATTATAACATCTTTTCTTTCTTAAGTCTCCCGTGACTTAAATAACTTGGATATTACCTTACTTTTTCAATAGTACTTAATCAATCGTTTCTCACGGAAACAAGTCAGTGAAACGCTTTCTTTATTACAGAATAGCTTTAAAAAGAAACGGAATGAATCACACAAGAAAGAGAGAAATTGGGCCAAAGTAAAGATAAATAATAAAAACCGTATCATTACAAGCTCGTTTCTGTGAATAGAATACAATACAAAGTCAATCTCTGCTGCTTATTATTGAACTGGTCATAAACCAAATGATCTTTGAGTGAATTCAAAGTTTATTCAGAGTAGTTACCTATGGCAGCAGATGAGCAAGAAAAAGACGGCCAACACATCGGGCCACCCCCCATCATGTAGGATGCCGTATTTGCCCATCACAATGCGTAAATTGCCACCTATAAGTAATATTTCTTGGTAATTTGGAATAGAATCTTGCGCTTATGAACGCAGGCCCCGAACGGCCCGTTACTGGACGTTTTAATAGTACTTAAAAGAGCAAGAGCCTTAGATGAAAACAAAAAGGAGAGATACGACACTCGCGGCTGAAAAGTGTATTGCTTAAATTGTGGTGCATGAACACAATTCGGTTTAGTCACAATTTGACATCCAAACATGCTGCATGTGCGCTTAATATAACAATATTGCGTATATCTGTGCTTTTAAAATAACACAAATAGTTCAAGATCAAATAACAAATTCCACGGCATCACTTTTCATTCACAAAACTATTACATATAGTAATATATAAACAATTTTTTCATAAAAGTCACGGTTTGTCATGAATTTTATTTACTTATTCGCAATTTGTTATCAGAAAAAGGACAACAATACAGCTCAGCCGTTTGTAGAGAGAGAAAAGAAAGAACACGCAGTCGGCTGCCAAGCGACGCGGACTCGCCGTTTCGCTCGCGCTGCGTTGAAGCGTACAGTACCCCTAGCACGATGGTTCGTGCTAGAATTCATATCGTTTGCGAGTCCGAAATGTCATTGTAAAATGTGTACTGATTTTTAGTTCTCGTACTTTGTGCCGCTGCTGTTCAAGTTTCCATACAAAATTTGACATTGACATTTCGGTTTGCAAACTATTCGAATTCGATAATGGTTCGTGCTAGGGGTACTGTTCTGTCTCGTTCGCTCAACTGAATGTTTATTTACAGAAGTGTGCGTGTGTGAGAGTTGCTGATGTTGAGTTTGAGTCGGAGCATATTTTATTTGATGCTAGTATGAGCGTACCGTATCTTCTCTTTGTTTTTAATCTAAGTCAAGCGCACATTGACCCACTTAACGCGGCCACTAGTGGCTTAGTCAAGCTCAGTGGAATCGCTGAGCGGCGGCCTCTTGAATGCATAGTTTGCGCCGATGCTATACAAAATGTATTAAAAAAGCTCGACCACAGCTTGGCACGTCTGAGTTAAGCTTCGGCAGCATACAGACATATATGGCGAAAGTATAAGGCAGGGCCGTAGCTAGTGAGCTAACTTGTAGAAAGGGGGAAGGGCAATTCGGTGGCAATGCCCTACCTCAAAATACAAGGTGTCATTTAAATCTAAAGAAAATATAACTAGAAAAAATTCCACGCGAATCAGGCAGCAGACGGGACGGAAAAAAAAATATAACAGGGTTTCATTACTTCATTGTTTCCTATAGAACCCTCAAAACCATGCGTGCTAGTAAAGACCAATATAATAAGCCGTTCTGTGCAATAACATACCAAAATCCCCCGTCATAGGAGTAGATGGAGTCGCCGGCACGCTCGAAGCTTTCCGTTTGCCACCTGTGCTTGATCCTTCGTCCTGCAAAAGGTAAAAATGTAAGCATTAAAACATTGTCTTTTGTCAACAAATACAATATGCAAGATTAGTCACATAAGTGAAAACTCGTAGGTTCGACTTCGTTTACGTGGAAAAATAGGTTTCCCGTACAAAGTTTCAACTCCCATTATACCCTTTTAGGAAGTGAGTTTAGGAAATCCTTTTATAGCGCACGCAACGCATAGTTCTACGTCATAATATATGTGCCAAATTTCAGGGTAATCCGTTGAATGGTTTGAGCTGTACGTTGATAGATCAGTCAATAATGGTTGACTTTTATAAACACAGAAGAAGACGATAAACAGAGCTTAACGGAAAAGATCGGTCACTGGATGGATGAATCGTAGTTGTCTCAACTCTATGTGGTTCAGTAAGAAGTATAAGTTGTAAGATAGATAAAATAAATTTTAAGATTTGATGCGTTGCGACTAGACATGGGCGTTTTTGGTTTTGAACGCAAACGGATATTTATCGGATTTCAGATTTCAAAATCGATTTTAAAATCCGTTTTTAAATATCCGATTTCAGATGTGCCGAACTTAGCCAATTAACTAGTTTGTGTTATGATTTGGTTTTATTAGCTAACGACAATCACAAACAACTAATTGTACGAAGCAAGGATACTCGTAGATTTGCGCGATTTTCCTTTATGCTTTAAATCTAGGCTTAGGCAAGAGTATATATTCTGTGGCTTAGGACTAGCAGCAAAAGTTATCTTTACGGTTAAAAGGTGGTTAAAAGTAAAACTTTTGTTGCGCATTTAAAAATCGGCTTATATACAAGATTTCTTTTTACATATTTTTTTAGTATTTTTTTTTTGTTTTTATTATTTTTCAAACCATTTACAAAATCAAACCTAATTACTTCAGGTTAGCGTTCAAAAAATGTCAGTTGCTCGACTTTTGATGTTTTTAGACGACATCTTTTTCAGTAATAAATAATCCCGCCTTAGAGAAGATCAATAGATTTCCGTAAACAGCAAACCGAAATCGGACTTCCGAGCACGAAATCGGACTTCCGAAAACGAAAGCACGAATTTCGAATCCGATTTACATTTGGATACTTGTGGTGGTATTAGATCGCTAGCGTTTTGGTTCGGTTAGATTTCTGAAATCGGATTTTCTTGTTGAGAAATCGTTCGGTATCGATTTGTGTTTGAAATCGGATTTTGGATTCGTTTTGATATATCGGACGCATGCCTAGTTGCGACCTATTAAGGAATTATTCTTAATGGGTTATCTTTTAAGGTTTTTTTTGTGAAAGGTGCGTTAAGAGACATTAAAATTGTATTCGGGCCATTCCACGTAGCATGAGCACCACAATTAACCTATTATCACGTTTTTTATCACGCCTAAAAAGGTATTTGAAAACCTTCGGCAGTCAGAAAGAACAAAATGAATCGTAAGCGATAGCGATAGAATAGCATTTCCATTAGGCGATTGGCCCCCTCATGGACCCGGGGCGCCAGCAGCCCGTCCCGCTCGAGGATCTCCCGCTCGGTGCGCCCCACGTACTGTGACCTAACTCAAGAGCCTCTGGGGCGGGTACCTGGTGATCCCGGGGCGCCAGCAGCCCGTCCCGCTCGAGGATCTCCCGCTCGGTGCGCCCCACGTACTGTGACCTAACTCAAGAGCCTCTGGGGCGGGTACCTGGTGATCCCGGGGCGCCAGCAGCCCGTCCCGCTCGAGGATCTCCCGCTCGGTGCGCCCCACGTACTGTGACCTAACTCAAGAGCCTCTGGGGCGGGTACCTGGTGATCCCGGGGCGCCAGCAGCCCGTCCCGCTCGAGGATCTCCCGCTCAGTGCGCCCCACGTACTTGAACTTGGTGCCCCACGAGAACAACCCACCGCCCGAGTAAACGCTCGCATCCGAAGACGATGGCAATCTGCAAACGAAAAAAAACCTAATCAATATCGCTATAAGATTAAGTGCTATCTCGACAACTTTCCAACCTTTCAGACCTTTCTTAAACTGCAAGGCAGCGCTATCTCCTCGCATTGTAGGTAATCCACAATTATGCATGTAGGGGTGGGGGCAAAAATTATATCTAGTAACTATAGGCCCATTTCGGTTGTTCCTGCTATTTCCAAAATTGTTGAAAAACTGCTTAATAATCGTCTTATTCGATACATTAATAGATTTAATATACTTTCACACTCACAATTTAGTTTAAAGCGTGGTATATCGACAGAAGATACAGTCTTAACTTCAGCATCATACGTAACCAACCAACCGGATGTAGGAAGAAAGTGCTTGACTATTTTCCTATATTTTAAAAAAGTCTTTGATACTGTTTCATATCCTATCCTTTTACGCATGCTTGAAGCAATTGGAATACGCGGCACCCTATTAAATTGTTTGAGGATTATTTGCGGAATCGTAGACAGCAGGTAAAGGTTGGTGATTATAAAAGTGACGAGTCAGAGGTCTCCTTCGGCGTACCGCAGGGTAGTGTTCTGGGCCCTACTTTATTCCTCATATATTTAAATGACTTAAAAATCTCAAGTATTGATAATGGCCGTATTGTCCTACGCTGAAGACGATACCGCTATTGTTTTTGTAAACACAACTTAGAACATGGTAATTCGAAGTGCAGAACTCGTGTTGACTAAAGTAGCCCAATGGCTCCGGAGTTGTCTATTAACTCAAAAAATTGCTAAGACTAATTATGTTTGTTTTATAATTAATAGTAAAACTCAGCCTATTAATGACATTGCGCTAAAAATTCTACATTGTGACTACACAATAACACCGCAAATTGTGCTTTTGTATTAATTAATAAGGTGGCTTCTACAAAATATCTAAGAGTTATCCTCGATCAACAACTCAACTGGCATGACCAAATTGAACATGTGGGATCCCGTATAAGGAATATGATTTGAATATTAAGGAAATTGTGATATGTCAGGAAGATTCTAAAGCGAATATATATTCAAATTATGCTTTGATATACGAGAAATATGAAAATCAATCAGCTCAAATTTATAATAAATTAAACCGAAACTTAAACATATTCAAATTGAACTTGCATAATAAGTGCAAAAACACATTATCAAACTGGCTTGCCACTATTAAATATGATGATACAGGAACGTTATTACAATTATAAAAAAAGACGGGTGGCACTCCGGGAGTGCCGGCAGAAGTGAAAACTTGAATATTAACGTTGTGCATTTTTGATATTTTGGAATGGTTAGGGAATAATATTGCATCAATTTCTTTAATTATCAGTATAATAGTGCTATCATTTATGTGGATTTATGAGGATATTATACAATATTTATTTATTGCGCTATCGTACACAAACATGACAATTTATATTACATTAAAAAGTTGATCTCTCAGAATTTCTCATTTAAGCACACCTAGCGACATCTATTGTAAAAAAAAAATCTTTCATTTCATTTTCTTCGCAATAAAGCTGCCACCTGGACGTTTTAGATACAGACTTATTATTATAATACGATAAAATATAATATTACTATGATTCGTCCAATATATTGAAAGTCAACAACCTTTCCAATTTTATTGTTTTCGTCTTACGAATTTTCGATTGTCAGGTGTCCGGATGCGATCAGGCCACGTGACATGACGCGAGTTTATCAGTTTTTACCTATTACAAAAAAAGTGTACAACACCGCTAAAGAAGTTTTCACTTCCATATCAACTTACATGAATCACATAAACATTGTTTCGTACAATATATTGAAAGTCCCAATTTTATTGTTTTCGTCTTACGATCAGGACATGTGGCCTGTGATGCGATCAGCCCACGTGTCATGACGCGAGTTTAACATTTTTACCCATACAAAAAAAAGTGTACAACGCCGCTAAAGAAGTTTTCACTTCAAAAATCACATTCATACCTATATTCTGCCAAAGAGCTAATAATTGGGTACACACACGCACACTCTCTCTCACACACACACACAAACGCGCAAACTTAAACACACACAAATACATAATAAACAGGATACATCATTTCATTTTTCTTTGTATTTCAATATATCGGTTTACACATGCTACAGTCTAGATTAAGTATGGTTTTGTTAAGGAAGAGCGAGACCACCTGATACAAGTATCTAATATACTTACTAGGTTGGTTTCCACCTCTGATATTGTATATTGACGACTGTAATAACGTAAATAAAACTTTTTTGAGTTAATTTGGTGTGACGTCATACGACTGTCATTAAAACGTCTAACGATACTAGCGTGTGACGTCATTTTAGTCTTCGCCAATCTCAGGCGTTTTCGGTCACGTGACCGTAGAACAAAAAATCAGAGAAAAGTTATTAATTATTTGCTCTCTAAAATCGCTACTAATATTCATACTGCATACCTATGCTAAATACAGATGCTACCATTTGGTACTTTATTCTTCATACTACCTAATAGTCTATTCTAGAAAAAAGGGGAAATAAAAATCGAAAGAACACGACGTTCGTGTCACGAAAGTAACATTATAAGCAGCGGTTACGATTTCATTATCGCGGACAGTTATTTTTTCCCGGTAGAGTAACCCTCAAATGAGTCACATACTTTTTATGTTTCCGTTGCATTTTTTATCAGGATTCCGTAACGAAAGATAACACCGCGTCACACCGACCGCGAAGACACGACGAAAATAAAACTACGATCGTAACAGATAGTAAATACCTACACTATAAAAATAAAATTGTTATCCAAATCTGACCAATTACTTTTGATTCTTGCAACTTAAGTACTTACTTTAAAATAATAATTTTTATTATGTGTTTATATATCATCAGGAGCGGATTTACGTAGGGGCTTGGGGGGGCTAGAGGCCCGGGCCCCGCACCGGCGGGGTCATCCCATGAAATATCGAAAAGAAGTTTGACCTGTACATGTACCTTCTACGTAGGAAAAAGTTCTTGTCAATAATCCAATAAATACAGTTGCTAGAGAGTAACATAACGTGTTTTATTAGCTAACATTCCCATTAATTCTTATTATGCATAAAATCGGAATTTACAACAACTGGGAGTCAGATGATTTTCATATCCCTAAATTGGGCCCCATATCAATTTCAGCCCCGGGCCCCACTATTTTTAAATCCACTCCTGTTTATCATTATATGGGTAGATTTTTATACATAAAGAAAAAAATATTCTAATTGGCCCGGGTATGAGGCTGGAATCGAACCAGTATCCTTTTGCTTTTGCACAGGGGCCCAAGCACGAAGCGCAGCAGCAGCGCCCCTACCGGACGTAAGGACAACAATTGGCTCCTTCCATACAAAATTGATGACGATACGATTACGGATCTGTTAAAATTCTTCTCTGATTATAATGCTTCCAAGCTTGGGTAGTGAAGGACGTTGCTTCGATGCTAGCCAGAAGAGCAGGCACAGTAAAAATTTCAATTTACTTTCAGTAAAATGTTTCGAAATCAATAATCTTCATATTACGGGTTAAAATAAACAATAACATTTAAATTATAAAAAAATACTATAATTGCTATTTCCTCTTTCAAATGTTTAATACCTGTAAAGGTATTCATTTGACATTGTGGGTTATCTACAATGCGAAGGGATGGCGCTGCCTTGCAGCTTAAGAAAGGCTAGAAAGAATTCGACTTGTCCAGCAGGGCAGCGGTAGCATAATGATCAGTGCATTCGCCCGGAAAGCGAAGGGGTTCGAGTCCCGTCTGCTGCCTGGTCCGCGTGGAATTTTTTCTAGTAATATTTTCTTTAGATTTAAACATCTCGAGCTTGAGAGATGCTTAAAACATAAAAATTAAAATAACATTTTCACAAATATCTTTCATATTAAATATTTCACACACGCCATTTATCGTGTCTAGGTTGTAGTAGCTACCATCAGCCGGCCCATGTCGCCACTATGTTAAAAGGTACATACTTTAGACGTCACTGCGGCTTGCGACTTCGTCCGCCTTATATTTAATAAGGCTTAATAAAATCCCACAGAAACCTAACATTCTTCTGGGATAAAAAATATGTCTCAATCCAGGAAATATACTAACTGTGTGTCAAGAAGCCAAATACGTTCAGTCGTTTTTGCATGATTGGGTAACAAACATACAAAATTGTAATATTCGTAGGATAATAGGATAAAGAAGGATAATACTCACGTAAAGAAGAGCATTTGTTCTATGGCACAACACCACACGTGACGGCACGCCGCGCCACTGGGACACTTGAAGCCAACCGTGTGTTTTTTCTGCAGAAAATAAATGGATATATTTATTCTGACATGATAATAGAGACAGTAATGAATAGATAACTTGCTCAGGGCCGGATTGAAGGCAGCTCAGTCGGGGCTGTGTGTGGGCCAAGGGGACCTCCCACAAAAAATTAAAAAAAAAACTATTTTTTTTTTCAGGCTCCAAGTTTTAAAAATACTCCCCCTCCTTCGTTCCCCCAGGGTCTCCATGCCTCTAAATCCGGATATATAATCGTGAATTTGGGGTTTTTTTATAACCTAGGGGTAAGTTCGGTAGACATCAAATATGCTGTCAAAGAACCAACATGTGATTTTATTTGTGGTATAATGTAATTGTTTCATCATTCTGGGAATTATTTCTGTGACAGTATTTCACTATAAGAAGTAGGGCACTAGAGAGAACTGAACTGAGATGAATGAATGCACTGTACAAAATGAAGTATTTGTCTCTGGCTTTATTTTAGTAAGTGGTTGATATGCACATTTGCATATTAATTGTAAGTACTAAATTATATAATGGAAGGTGAATTCATGAATTATCTCTTGAAGTAATTTTTCTGCTAGAACTCTGGTATTGGATTAGTGATTTTTTAACTTATACAGAGGGAAAAAAGCAACCCATGCTGAGTTTCAGTACAAAGTCTCTGCTGTAGATTTGCGAACCGATGGCGTAGCTTCTCGGCCTTCCCAAGTGCTTGTAACAGCTTAAACTGAATAAGTTAATTTTGACTTTGACTATGTACAAAAATATTACCTCCGGATAGTTGAGATGTACTATAAACATGCGGCCTTCAAAGTTGATTTTCTGCACTTCGGACCATTTGAAGTGGTGCGTCTTCCTGCTACCTTGGAATGTGAGAATACCGCTATGATTGATACCCAGGTACAGTTGGTTACCTCTATGATCCTGAAATAGACACGTCATCGTAAGCACCCAGAATAACTACTATTGCTATCTATGCCTTGTTATCAATATTATGCTTCTCCCACGACGTGACAAAGTTTTGGTACTAAATTACACTAAAATTTGCGTTTGAAATTTGAATTAGTGCCACCATAAGTATACACCCTGGTACAAAATTTTAAAGTAATGACCATAGACAAGGAAGTCTGCGCATGAGCAATGTTACATACAAAAACGTTTCTTCTTCACTTCTCTTGCGTAACTTCTTGAACTAAACCACAGACAAATACTATTATTTGTCTGTGGTTTAGTTCAAGAAGTTACCTACACGATCTTTCAGCTGCACATAAAATTTATAGTATCCCACAACCTCTATTATGCGTGTAAAATCGCCAGTCATGCTATCGTCTAGTGCAGTGTTTACTAACCTTTCCAATACTGCTACCCCTGTAATCTATTAGGAAAACAGATTTTACCCCGACTTTAAAATGTTATCATCAGTCCAAGAAATTCCAATTTGGCCGCTACATCTCGCCCCGCTTCCCACACTCAGCACCCCGCGGGCTCGCTAGCAAGAAGGAGCGCATGCTCTATTTAGTAGTATTATTGTATAGTCTTATTATTTAGATTTGACCAAATAATTAGGTTCTTTGTTACCCCCGAAGTATGGCCGATTTACCCCCGGAGGTTACCAGGTTCGGAACCCAGGGTCTAGTGTCTATAGTCATGCAGACCGATAATTCACTATGATAGGACTAATTAAAATTTCGAACGCTAACTTTAGCGCATTTAATAAATACTGGCCACCCAAAAAGCTTCGTCGCGCAGGACTGGGAGAAGCATTTTAGGTATAAGCCGCGCCAATAAAAAAACAAATCGAAAATGGAGTCTATGTACCTGCACTGACAGATGGTAGGGTCAACAAATAGAAAGAAAAAGTTGTTTATGTCGAGACAGTGCGAGAACAAAGTCAGAACTGATATTTTTTTTGCATGCAGTACACGCCGTGTGCGACTAAAGACAGCAATAGTTTAGAGTGAGAGCGCATGATCGCCGCCGCCATTTTAGATTCGTTTCTTTATTGGCGCGGCTTATAGCGGCAAATTTATTGAGCAAAATCACAGACAAACAAATTTGCACAATAGACGTTTTCTATGTTACATTGCTAGTGCGCAGGCTTCCTAATCCATGGTCGATGCTCAAGGGGATTACGGGGTGTATACTTAGTCCTAATTGTTACATGCAATGCTCATGCAAAACTTCTGTCTCTTGAAACAATTATTTGCAGGCAACATAAAGAAGTCTTATGGTATGAAAATAGTTGAAATATTGAGATGAAAATTAAATAAGTATTAACACTTGACAGTAAAATAGAAGCACTGAATGTCATAGGTTGTGAATGTTGTCCGGTTGATAATGCAGACTTGGTTTTAAGTACTCCGTTTTAGAATTCTATATCACAACTTAATATTATTGTATAATAACATTAAACTAACTATGATCCATAGTGCAGGAAGCGGTCAAAACTAATATTTTAAGGAAATCAGAAACAACAATTGTTCCATGCACGGGTCACAAACACCCAATCTTTAAAAACCTAGTTTATGTTAAGCTCACCAGGAACCAAACTGTGGTCCACAAAGATTCAGAAACTTGACAAGCTGTTAGAAAAGTAATAATGGGACTTACTTTTACAGGATGCGGGTCTACTCCATAAGTGTCAAGTTGGCAAGCAATCTTAACGAACATCCGTTCGGCTTCCTGGGTCGTCATACCCTTCACACCACCTCCACCCCCCGGAGTCAGCTCCACTGGCTCTCTATGAAGTTCCTAAAAATTATGATACTTTATATATTCATCAGTAACTTTTTCTTGGAAAATTATAATTTTAGCTTTAAAATTATCATCTTTCTATCTTGATAATTCTGATTTATTGATAATAATTTAAACAATCCTTAATTTATTTCAAAATTAAAAATATATGATGAAAATAAATACATGTTATATTTGATCAAAGAATGACATAACATTAAGATCTTAATCTTATAATTGATATCTGTCATTTTGTTTTATTATTTATTAGTGTATATCTTATCTTACTATTTAACAGATATTATCTAAAGCTGATTCAATGATGCAACAAAAACAGAATACATGCTTTCTTAACACTACAAATTCCTTTAATACAACAGTATTTTATATTGTTTGCATCATTGAATTAGAAATAATATGTAATATAGACTGCACTAAAAAGTAGTTCCATGTAAACTGCAATCAAGGGGGCAGGGCGAAAAAGCTCATCATAGGTTGGTTAGAATTTCCGTTTAACTTTATCTTACCCAATGAATTCCTTTGCAGATATTTGATTTGCTAATTTTGTATTCTGTTTAGTCTGTGTTAGTGTCATGATAGTATTATACTTTAGTTATATGAGTTTGGAACCATGTTTTAACGGCAATTCTTATAGTGATGTGATCTAATTCTCTGGTTTATATAGGTGAACTGAATGATCTTACTAACATAGATCTTGCTCTTCTTTATTGAATAGAAGATTAAACTTACCTGTATCCTTGCTTCTATGGCATCTGTCTGTCTTAATAGTAGTCTCATTTCAGTAACATAGTTCCCAACATGTATGCTTGGGTCATAATCACCGAGTTCAACTGAAACATTATTTATAAATATAAAATATCCATATTTTTTAATAATAATTAAAATTAAAAAAGACTAAACTATTTAAAGCTGAATCTTTTCAATTCTTTGTAATACGCAGCACTATGATTTATTTATACAACTAGATAGAGCAATCCGAATAAATCACATAAAGAAAATGGGTCATGTTTTGCACAATGTGTGTAACTCTAATGTTAGACTGTACTAAAGCAGTCATGTATGTGTGTCTAGCAACAAACAGATCTACCATTTATGTAGTAAATTGTTTCTGTGCCATTTCAATCAAAGAAAGAAGCTGTACGCTTCTTCAAAGTCAAAATTTCAAATATGTTTCAGTAATAATACATACTTTGAATAATTAGAGCTCCCAGCATAGCTGCTTCATTGGAAGTACAGTAAAGTCTGCCATGTAACAGATCTCTTTTGAGTTGTAAATAAATTTGAAATCTAGTAACATCTTCCTTTAGAAGCAACGGATTTGGTGGATAAAACTTAACTCTAAAGCTAAATAGTATTGGAGATGCATCTGAAAATAAGTTACATCAGGTTATTATATACATCTGTTACAAAAATATAATTATACCATACTCAATCAAATCATACAAACCTTTAACTTGTTTCAATATTAATTTTGCCATATGCAGCCAGTGCTAAAATAAAGGTTAAAAGGTTATTCATTATCAGTACATATAAAGACAAATATTCATAGTAACAAACATATTAAACTACTTGACCGTCACTGAAAGCTTTATATTGAGATAGCACTTCCGTTTCCCGTCGAATTACCATCAGTTTCCGTACTTTTATTCACCTTGTATCCGGTCCAGTGGCGACACCTGGCAGAAGCGCGGCCATTTTTGTTTTCCTAAGTTTTGACACCGCCATATTAACTCATTGGCGTTCTGACTCCCGTCGAAGCAACACGTCCTCAATCTGAGCAATCGTTGTGAGATTTTAAAGGTTTTATTATTATTAAGTGATAAAACTGTAAGTAAAACTATTTTATTTTAACGGTTTTTGCCGTTCGTGTTATTCCAAATAGGTACTTTACGTGTTAAAAGTGAAGGAACCGTAAGTAAAACTATTATTCTTTTTTATAGTTTTTGCAGCCCTTGTGATAAGGGATATTTAAAACAAATATGTTAAATTGTGCAATACGCTTGTTTGAAAAAGTAATAATAAGCCGTGAGTAAAACTTGACGGCAATTCAAGGTGCGTTTTGTTTAAAAAATTAAAGTACCTACATTAAAGTAAATTTTGCAATACTTTACGTCTGTCTTGGTCGTTTATCATAAAAACTATTTTTAGAGTGTTTTCTCTTGGTACTCAATTAATGTTTCCGTATAAGTAAATGTGAAAGTAAGTTGGTAAATGTATTACAAAATACTTAATTAAATTGTTTTACAGTTTAGAGTGAAGGAATATCGGTCAATATTGACGTTTCAGCCGCCGACTGACTGGCATTATTGGCAAAAACAGCAAGATGTGTGGATCTAGTCATTATTGTTCTTTGAACAGCTGCAGTAATAATTTGTTGAATTTGTCCTCTTCTGGTATAACGAAAGCGGCATCGCTGCCTCAAGAAAAATAAGCGAGCTTGATATTCCAGCCCTTTTATTAAAAGATCGTTCGAGGGGTAAGTGAACCATGTACAATCTTAATAAGGTATTTCTAATGTCGATATGCCGTTTTCTGAACATGGCCAGCTATCAATATCTAAAGGCTTATGAATAAAAAGTTCTAACATTTTTACTGACCAATACACGTAATAAAAATTCTCATATGAGTCGTGTGACTAAACTAGGATAAAGGAACGCTCTGTTCGAAAGACATACAACGTTTATTTTAAATGATATGCTGATGTAAATTAAAAATTATAATCATAGTCCAGGCTTTATCAACCTGGAAACAAACAACGAGGTAAAGAAGTATGATGATAATTTATGATATATCACGTTCCTGACATTAATTTTGTTTCAGCAATTGCATATTTCTAAAATAAAAATGAATCATCGCGGGAAGGCACCTGCTCAGTTAATTTTAATAACGAAAGTGATAAGATAACAGAATCGTTTCTTAGGTCTTTTACAGCTAGCACAAAGCTAAAAAGTAAAAATTAAAGCACTGCTTAAGAAGTTAGTAATCTCTGTGATGAAGCACCACTTAATAAGATACCATCTATGAGGTTGTTTTTCTCGTATTAAGTAAGTATTTGTCATGGATTTAAGTGATTGACATTTCATCAACCTAATGAGCAACTCGCGCAGAGGCAAGTGATATTCATAAGCTTCATCTCATGAAGCCCAAGGCGTGTCAGGACATGCCCTCCCATGGCGTACCTACACATATGAGTACCGGTGGCAAATCACCCTCGCGGGGTGCATATTATATATAATTTGTTTCCACTACGTGGAATCTTATTAAATGCCTCTAATGCCTTGCCTACATATACGAGTACCGGTGGCAAATCACCCTCGCGGGGTGAATATTATGTACAATTAGTTTCCACTACGTGGTACCTTATGAAATGCCTGGAACCTTATGAAATGCCTCTAATGCCTTGCTTACATATACGAGTACAGGTAGCAAACCACCTTCGCGGCGTGCATATTACCAAAACTCTGATGACCGCCCCTCGCGGGGGCATATTATGTATAATTTGCTTCCTCCGTATGGAACTCATTATGAATAAGGACTTGCCTTCCATGGCTTGCCTACACATACAAGTACCAGTAACAAAACATCGTTGATAGAGAAATATCCTCATCAATCTTATAATCGCCCTTGTGGGGTCATATCACACATAATATATTATTTCCATTACGTGAATATCAATATATGTTCTCCTTAGAACATGTTCGCTTATGGAGTTCGTACTATTATGTAAGCACCGGTAACATACGACACTCGAGTGGAGCAAATTATGCATAATTTAACATGTAGTCTATTCGTGATTCATAATTTATTTTTGTGACCATGGGGTCTGTAAAAGTGTAAACGATTCGAAACATTAAAAATAAGTAAATTGAAAATATAATAAATGTCGCTTGACATAATTCATTACTTCCATCGCGTGGAAATCCATACATCAACGCAACGCAACATACCCGCTCATGGCTTGCGTACACACATAAGTATCGGCTATAAACTACCCTCTTAATAGACTATAAAGAACGAACATCGAATGTTGACGTACCCCGTTGGGAAGTGCAATGTACGTGGTTTTTAAGGTGTCGCATACTCCGAGGTCTTGGGTTCACCCCGGTGGGGCAAATCATTGTATGATAAAAACGAGCATCTGTGCTTAAGTTTTGGTTGTTAACAAATATGAATTCAAAATCATACTAATCTATGCATCATCATTATGCATTTCTAGGCGTTAGCCCATAACACAAGCCTTTTAATGCCCATTATAAGGCTAGGCTAATTGGTGTGAAGTGTTGACTCGATCACTACGGTTGTTCTACCGTAATATATAATACATTTCAAAAGAAAAAGGAATATCGAAACAATTAATGTTTGAAAAAATTTAGTGCAGGTAAGTTGATAAATTGGGAGCTCCATAAATAATTCTTAAATAAATTTAATGGTATCGCATGCCATTCAAAAGCTTGTTTATCTAAATCCAATATATATCAAACTCCAATCTCAAGTGCAGTACACTATAAATATGTAAAGAATTCTAAGTTTTCTGCAATTTAAGGACTATCTGCCAGATAAATAGATGATAACATATTTTCTCTTGAAAATAACAAAAGTAAACCAAATGGGTTGCTCACTCTTTTCATCGCGTAATGAGAGAAACTTGCAATATTAGAAATGTCGTGTATGTGGTGTCTGAGGTGGCCAACATGATCATTTTGATATATAAGTGGTGCTATGTACTGAAGAAAGATTGCACGATCTACCAAATTCTTGAAAGGTTTTGAAGATCATTGTATGCGATTATCCACTTTATGTTATTTTAGTAAAAATTACTGAAAACTGTTCTTAACATTAAACTTACGCTTTCTAACCTTGCCACGACTGTCTGGAATAAATATACTTCAAACCCTACGCATAGTACATGCACACCTCATGTAAGCTGTGTAAATCTTATAAATAACTAAATCTTTATTTAGTATTAAGTAATACATATAAATGACTCAGATCTAAGAACTGAAAAACAAAAGGAAAAATTACAATCAATTATAGATTCCAGGATGGCAAATGAATTTCATAAAATCTGGTCTGAACTTTGTAATAGCATAATTTATCACGGCAACCCAGCAACAATATAAAAACTATACCAGAGAATTTCGTTGTAAAAACGTAAACTTCAGAAGTTGATCGGTTTCAACATTTTTGTCATTCCGTGGGGTTGTATCAACCACTCCCTACTTCTAACAATAATTATGAATTCACTGCAATCGACCTTGCAATCACTTCCCGCCAATCTAATATGAAAGCTTGGGAAGTGTAGTTGAAGAACACGGCTCTACCACTTAACTTCAATCTTCACTCCAATCAAATAGATATGCTAGCACTACGCTTTTCAACATATTCTACAAAGAGCGACAGCTCTGTCTTAAACAGCTATGAGATGGCTGGGAAACGCTGGCTTGCGTGGTTGCATTGGTCTAGGAACAAGAATGTTTATCGGAATAATCCCGCAAGTTGTGGACTCGGCTCTGAACTAACACGATTTTTGAGACTTATTTTTAACTCGTGACTTATCTTAAAATAAGTACCATTATTTTAAATAAGTCAGTAGTTTTTACATGATATACCAATGGATGATAAGTCTAATTACCTAAGCTCACCTGTCTTGGCAAACACATATATTGAAGTCGATTGTTTTTAAAGAATCAGTCCGTAACCTACTGTTCTGTGTCTATAAGTTAACTTATTTCCTTTTCTTCAATAATGTACTCGTTGCATCATAATGATCTGTTTTAAATACTTCGTCATATATGTTGTTCTGAACGTCATACAGTAATTATGCTGCGTTCAGCATGTGGTACACATGACTTGTTCCTACTTCAAATTATCCCGAATCATTGTATTTGTACCGACGAAGATTAGTTTAGCCTTGTTTTGGTTCAAAACAGGTGAAAGTAGTTAAAGACAATCCGATTGGTGACTTGTACCGAATAATGGTAATCGTAAGTGGGACCCTGATTTTTGGTACTTAAGTAAAAAGTACAGTCTTGTAAAATGTAAGACTCAGTATCGAACAACTTTACATCTTTTTCTCGCGTTCGTATTTGTGATATACAAAGATACAAATGAATGCTACACAAGGAAGCGTCCGGTCATTAACAAAGCAAATATATGTAGAAGTATATATATATATATACGTCGCGAGTTTTAAGCAAAGGAATATAGCGATCAGCTAATACATATGATCAAGCAGCTTCGTAAGCTTGAATAAATTGAAGGTGTGATTCAAATAATATTATTTGATTCATTTTTAAGCTTACTCGTTTCTTTATACAGTTTCATATAATCTGATAAATGTTAATATTTAAATTTATCATAAATTGTCACATTGGCGTATATATCTATGTACGTGGCGATCACCAGGCGATAACAAACAGGTCTCAATATAAAGCTTTCAGTGACGGTCAAGTAGTTTAATAGCAGCATTTTACCTGAAATAAAATGCATATTAAAATACTTACCTCACTGAAAGCTTTCACTTTAAATTCTGCCTGGTGAAATAATTGAGCCAATGAGTTAATATGGCGGTGTCAAAACTTAGGAAAACAAAAATGGCCGCGCTTCTGCCAGGTGTCGCCACTGGACCGGATACAAGGTGAATAAAAGTACGGAAACTGATGGTAATTCGACGGGAAACGGAAGTGCTATCTCAATATAAAGCTTTCAGTGAGGTAAGTATTTTAATATGCATTTTATTTCAGGTAAAATGCTGCTATTGTAATGTCTACAAATAACATTATAGGCTCACTCACTGTATTGACCTTTTAAATATTCACAATATATTTTAATATTGTGCAACAAATAAAAATTTTATTCCTTGATGAAAGTTATCAATTACAAATAGTTTTTAATAATTGTGCAATTGCAAAGGAACAATTTGAACATAACCATGAAACAGAATACAAACTTGAAACATCTGAAGAACAATTTTGTTTAATACATGGAATAGGCAAAGAATACAACTTAGATAAATTAATTTTTATGATATTCCTACTTTATGTGTTGGCGAGTGCATTGACTGTATAAAACCTTGTGAACTATTTTAAAGAACATGTTTACTTACGCGTTGTCCGCCGGCATCAACATAACGAAGGCCGAAATAATCAGTTTCAGTGAGATTTAACTGCTGACAGACATACTCCAACAAATATTTTCCCTTATAACTAGGCTGAAAAATTAGAAAGTTACAATCAAATTATTAAGTCATTAATTATGAACGAGCTATTTATATAAACTTACATGAAATTCGCATTCTAAAATTTCAGTATCTTCCAAAAGTCGCACTGTGCATTTATAAACAATGTCGCCACGGCTTTTGAACATTCTGTAAGGTTACCCGTGACAAAAGGACATGTAGAAATCGAAGGCCGACACAGCTTAATTGTGTTATAACATTTTTATTAGATTTGATAAATAAAAAAGAAATCCTTCATTTGTTTTTAGTACAATTTCAGAATTAGGGGTGTGGTGGGGGGGAAGTAAAAGTGTTTGACGTTTTGGCAATTGACATTTTCGTTCTGTTTTTTAAATTCAGTTCCATTCCAGTTTCATAAATATAAATTACCTTCGTTATGTTTTTCTTTTATTATTTGAAAACATTCTTGATACATTGTTGAGGAATTATTCAAATAACAAAACTAACCCACAAGATGATAACGACATGTATCTCTAAGAGTGTATATTATATTTCTATGGATAGCTGTTATTTTTCAAAATAATTAAATAATTGCAATAGTTAAGGAAAGAACGTTAATTAAAATTTGCATTGTAGTGCTTTTCGTATGGGATAATATTACTAACACATAGTTCATAAAAAATAAAATTGTTTCTGAACGAAAAGGAAATGGTAACTGATAGGACGTAGGAGCACACTGATGTTACCCATAATAAAAATAAAATCCCAATTCAGGGAGATTTCATGACAATGGAATAATAAATTGTGGAGATTAGTACAAGAAATAAGCCAGACTCTGACTCAGAAAATAATACCCTCTCACATTCCAAAAGAGAAAAATAATTAAACAAATAATAAAACCGACTTAAAAACGGAAATAGAACTGAAAAGTAAAAAAATAATATTCGATTCAAACGAAATCGGGCGGGTCTTAGTATGATTTGGAAGTCGGGCGGGTAAAACATGGAATAGATATTCATTTCCAATCGGTATAAGTGTTTCAATCTTTGAACTAATTTCCTGTGATTCTGTCAATTTTATATTGTTTAAAAACATTTTTTTTTTCTTTCATTACACAAAGTATCGTGAAATTTACTAGATGATGTATTAAGTAAACAATAATGCTCATAAAATGAAAACAACTGGGTTAAACTAAATTAAATTTTAATCGGGCAAAATGTCTCAATTGAACAAAAAGGATCAGAAATGTACATAATATAAATATCGTGAAAATGACATCGTCCAAGTTAACAAAATGTTCATAAAAAAAACTACAGGGCCAAATTGAATTCAATATTTAGGGAAAAAAATGGTAACTATTCCGCATCGGACAAAAAAAGAATCACGTGAATCTGATCAGAAATCTCAGCGTAATCGGTATTACATATATAAGAAAACAATACATACCGGTGAAATTAAGAACCTCCCCATTTTTTTATTCAGTAGTAAAAGTAATAAAGAATATATAAATGAAAGTACACTAAGGTCCACTTGCAGCAGTTTTGCTCAATCTCAATTTTATTAAAACTATTGACTGGCCTTATAATACTGACAAAACGTCAATGTCAATTTGACATTATTGTATGGGCTAATTCTAATCTAAGTAAAATTGAGATTGAGATTTACAAATATTGCAGCAAGTGGAGCTAAGTTCATAAGTATAAGTCGCGGCACGAAACTCTAACGCTGACCGTTATTGCGCAGAAGTAAAAATTAAGATGTCCCCCCGAGACAAGACAAAACGAGGTGCACGGGTGGGTGTGCGTCGCGCCGATTGGCTCTCCAGTCGTACCCATGCGCAGCTATCCCTGACGCGTTTTTTTCAGCGCGTTTTGTTTTGATAACCATATGAACGCAGAACCCTACCCAGATAAAACTTTGAAAAATAATTATTTTTAAGGTTCTTATAATTTTTATTTACGTTACGTTGGACACAGTCATACTTAGAAAACCGCTTTCAGGCAGTTGTTTTGAGTGGACATAGATCAAACTTCATTGATACATCAACAGGCGTGCCTCAGGGTTCGCATCTAGGGCCTTTATTTTGTAGCGCTTACTTGTATCACATTGGGTTCATTTAAAATATGCCGAACATTTGTTATATGTATATGACCTTATAATCCGATCTAGACAATTTTAGCAAGAACTACTTGGAAAACAAAATCACTATCAATATAGACAAGTGTCAGTGCATCTCATATACACGAAAAAGCAAGCCAAACCAATACAAATATACACTCAACAAAAACCCAATTGCAAGAGTGACGGAGATAACAAATTTGGGAGTTATTTTTGATAGTACAAGCCTACAAGAGCTTGGGCTTCGTTCTGCATTTGTGCAAACTCTTGAGTGACATGGCCACTATTAAATCAATTTACTGTGCATATGTTCGCAGTACATTAGACTACGCTAGTCCAATTTGGTCACCATAGTATAGTTAAACAATGATCGTCTCGAGCGCATCCCAAAAAAATATTAACCATCCCAACTATCGACAAAGTATTTCTCCTGATTTATATCACAGGGGATGTTATCATTATGGCCTCTTGAGCTAAGAGGAGAGGCGGATAATGCTTGACACTACTATTGAGAAAAAGAAAGAAGAATGGAAGGTATACATAGTTTAACAGGTTGAATATGGAACACCTACTTTTTATGATTCTTCTGAAAAAGAATGGAAATAAGTAGCGAAAATAATTTGTAAGTCAGCAAATATACAAACGATTTGCCAATATCGTCATGCACAAAATGAAGGAGAAAACAAGTATTCCCGCACTATTCTGAAATTTAAAAATACAATGATGTCGATTCTGGCATGATTCTCTAAAGCTAACTTAAATTTGACAACAGTGCATCCTTGTCATTCTCTATACAGAATGAAAAGGAGAGACTGATGTTAAATTTAGTTATAAGTTTAGAGAATCACGCTAGAATCGGCACCAGTATCAGATCTGTATGCATATCACTATTATCAAAGACAAACACATGAATTTGTTTCAGAGCGTACACGTTACAGTCTAATTTTAGAGGTACATAACTTTGGCACATTTAAAGGGAACATAAATCTGGCATAAACCGTGTCTACTAGTATTTGTAACAAACGATGACAACATAATCAATGGATAAATATTTTTGTAACGTACAAATGTATACATCTTTTTGGAGTCGACTATACCGTTTCTTTATAGTAGGGGAGACCGTATAAGAACGACCTTCACCGATCTGATAACTCGATGAGACATATTTTTTATCAAATACAATTTATAAACAAATATGCCTATGATGACTTACCTATCGAAAAGTGTTCATAGCTATTTGCATTTAATTAATTTTAATCAATTTTCTTTCATCCCCTTCACTCTTTTGATAACCGAATAAGTTTTATTTCAACTGATAGTTTTTAACACAAAGAATATGCCAAGGTAGGCTTGCCTACTTATTTCTGTGCATGGCTACTGGCAAGCAGATGTGAATAGGTAAGTCAATATAGGTAACTACACCGATCTGTTAACCAATCGAAATTTATATCATAGGTAAGATATTTACATTACAACACAATCATATAGGCTTGCCTGCAAAAAATCGTGCACAAATTATTATTGCCCAGCTATAAAGTTTTAGAATTTTAGCTATTCTGATAGGAGCGTGAGAACTCTAATTTATTATAACTCTGATTTCAATCACAATGTTTGTATTATTTTACACTAAATATACTTACAGCTATGAAATAATCAAAAATAAATGTAATAAATAAAAAAATCAACAAAAATGTTTTTCATTCTAAAACTAAATTTTAAAAATTATAATAAAATCTAGTTTTTTTTACAAATTAATTACAAAGCATAAAAAATAAATAAAAAAATGAATTCAAATATTTATTATAATTTTTATTATTCATCATCGAAATCATCGGAAACTAAATACTGAACATCACATTCTATTAAATTTTCTTCACCTCCTTTATCCATGATTTGTGCGATGTCATCAATTTTTAAGGGTGTTTGGTCCCCAACAAATCCAATTCAAAAAATTCAAAACTCAATATCATTTATTCAGTCTAGGCTGTTACAAGCACTTGTGAATGTCGAAAAGCTACGCCATCGGTTGACAAATCTACGGCGGGAGACCTTATACTGAGAAGAACCAGCAAGAAACTCAGCAAGGGCTGTTTTTTTCTACCAGTATTATATACAGAGTCGTCAAATTGAAAAATGACTTCAATATGAGGTAACTCATAAAGTCACTTTCAATTACAAATTCAAATAATATAAAAATTATTACTATAAAATTAAATTAAATAGTAAAAACTAGTTTAACAAAGTTTAGGAATGTTCAGGAATGCCGTGTCCTACTGTTTAGGCAAAAAAAAATAACGATTAAAGTTTAGTACAAGGATTAATAGTACCCAATTCAGCAAGAGTAGACTCATCTCCGCTGGCAGCACCCGTTCACGAGCTTGACGCATGAACCAGCCATCGCTTCGCTCAACCATTTTTTAGGGAACGCAACGCCCCATCTCACACGACACGACCGAAGAGATTTTTAAAAGAGCATAACTACGCAAAGCAAACTGCAAAATAGTTACTTAGAATTAAGGTAATTTATCTGTACTAAACAATTTTGCAGTTACAGCCATGCAGTTTTGTCATTTAAGTATTCTTTAATAGTATAATAGCCTTTCTTAAGTAAACAACTTTTAATGTGACATTTGAATTAATTTATGGCTAACTCAAGCAAGAACAGCATCAGGAATTTTATTGTAAAAATGTATACCTTGACCCATAAAAGATCGGTAAACCTTCTCTAACCTGTAGGTTGGCAATGCAAGCTTGTTTATATTCCTTGTGTTAAAATTGTGCACGTTACTGTGTTTGGTATACAAATTGATATTATTTTTAACGAGGAGTATGCAATTGTAAATGAATAGAGAAGCAACAGTCAAAATGCCAATTTCTTTCTTTCTCTAAGAGATGTTCGGCTACTCAATTGATAAATAGATCTCACAGCTTCTTTTTTGTAGAATGAATATACTTTCAATATCAGCTGCTGTTCCCCAGAGTACAATGCCGTATGATAATATAATATGAAAGTAACTAAAATATACAGCTCTGGCAGTATCTGTATCTGTAAGTATCTGTGTCTGTCTTAAATTTAATCATTAGCATTAAATTATTTAAAATCAATTGGTTTTAAATGATCATCGTGTAAGAGCTAACCACAGTATTCAGGCCGCAATTTTAAGTAATCTTGTTCAGTCGCATGAAGCCACATAGAAATGACATAAATAGTTCGTAATTTTTTTTGGGTTAAATAATTTGCATGGTGGCAAATTGTTGGATTCATAACTTTTTACTTTTTCCAAACAGTGCTCATTATCTTCTTTTTCGGAATAAATTTTCAGTATCAGAAGGTGAGCCTAGTGTTACTCTGGATTCTGTTCTTCGTTTTTTTTCATTCAATTTTGATGCGCTTCATACTCTTATGAAGCGCATAACAACGATTCAGAACAGTATTTTTTTTTATTTGTAATAATTGTGGGGACATTAATAGGCTGATGATGATGATGAATAATTGTAACTAAATTATCATTTTCCCAATAGACAGATAAAAACTGAACCAAGGCTTCTTTGATCTGATGATGAATAATGTAATGGAAGGTGACTTCAGACATATCTCTGAAGTAATTTTTCAACTTGACGACTCTGTATATAACAATATAGGGAGAAAAAAAACAGCCCTTGCCGAGTTTCTTGCCGGTTCTTCTCAGTATAATGTCTCCGGCCGTAGTTTTGCAAACTAACTAATGGCGTAGCTTCTTGACCTTCACAAGTACTTGTAACAGCCTAGACTAAATAAATGACTTTTCGTAAAAAATTGGAAGGCCTGTTTTGTTGAGGTCCAGAAATATTAAACGAACGTCAATCTCTTGACGATTTTGACGTTCTGTGTCTTTTATTGATGGCGACATATAACGATCAAAAAGTAAATGCACATGTGCGGCTTTCGTCGAACAAATTTTAATTAGAATCGGTCTAGCAATTTTTAAAAAAAGTTAGTGGCATTGAGGCTCTAATTAAGTACAAATAGTAAAATCCCTCGATGTTTTCTATTGTTATTCTTTCATTTATTTTATTTCACAGTTAGATTTTTATAAAATAGGTATAGAAGTAAAATACAAAAACTTAAATAAACAAATAGATATAGTATAAAAAACCTAACCTAGAAGGCCATTAGGTTATCAAAAGAGTGAATGTGATGAAAAAAAATGATTAAAATTAATTAAATTAAAAATAGCTATGAACACTTTTAGATAGGCAAGTCTTCATAGGCATATTTATTTAAAATTATATTTGATATGAAATATCTCTCATCGAGTTATCAGATCGGTGAAGCTCGACCTCCCATCGGCTCTTACACTATGAGGTATTCCTTTTTTTTAATATCAAAAAAATCCCTAAATGAATGTTTATTTTAATTGAAGTTCGAAATAAACTATATATAGGAGCTTAAAATAAACAATTATATGCATTTTTTATATAAAGATAACTGAAGTCTAGTCTAGTTTAATATTGGATTGGATAATAAATGACTTACTGTTTTTGTGCGAAAAACGAAGAACTAAAAATGTCTTTTATTTCATAATTTGTCACTACTTAATATTTCCATAAATAGTTTTATGTTGGAAATATAACATTTAAGCTTGTTTCAAATAAGTAATAACATTTCTGAAAATAGTCAATAGACAGTTGGGTTGTTCATGGGATTTCTAAACTTAGGTGCTGGCAACATAGCTAATACTCCCAACCGGAAATTACACCGTGTCTTCGACTTCCAACTGAGAGAAAAACCATTTCTCGTCCATTCTGTTGGAGTCTTTCTCGGATATTACACGCCGATTGTATTCCGTGGTGAGTGTCTGAAGAAAATCTGTGAAGTGATTGAAAGTGGTCTCTTATTCCAATCAGAATAATAATTGTGTTAGTATTTTATTGTAACAATTTAAGTAGTCACCTATTTTTCATGGTAGCTGTTTCAATTCAACCATTTTTATGTGGTGTAATACTAGACCGATTTTGTGCTCCATAATCGATAGAATGTTAACGTGGTGTTAAACATTTTGTTTAACCCAAGTGCGTTTCCAAAGTGCTCCAAATGGTTCCATTTTCAAAAATAATTGTGTGCTTACGCGTCACATTGTTCGCAAACCAACCCGGCTCGTCACCACCACGTGGTTGACTTTCTCTTGTTTTGCTTTGTTTATAACGAAGCGTACAATTTCCTACTTTCTTTTGTTTTCACTGTGTAAGAAATAATGTATTTTCACCGATTGCGCTAAATTTAATTACATTCTCACCATAATGGCTGACATTCATTGTTAAATGTCAAGATAGGGCGAGGCGGCCATGCGGCCGCCATATTGCCGGCCGCACTGTACATGAAGATCCGCTCCGTCCTTGTCGACGCCGGTTGCATAGGTCTTATTTATTTACAATCTAAATCTTCATTCACATTCTTTAATCTCTTCTTTTCAGACTAACCAAAAATGGGAAAGGAAAAGATTCACATTAACATTGTCGTCATTGGACACGTCGACTCCGGCAAGTCCACAACCACTGGTCACTTGATCTACAAATGCGGTGGTATCGACAAGCGTACCATTGAGAAGTTCGAGAAGGAAGCCCAGGAAATGGGCAAAGGTTCCTTCAAATACGCTTGGGTATTGGACAAACTGAAAGCTGAGCGTGAGCGTGGTATCACTATTGACATCGCTTTGTGGAAATTCGAAACTAGCAAATACTATGTAACTATCATCGATGCTCCCGGACACAGAGATTTCATCAAGAACATGATCACAGGAACCTCCCAAGCCGATTGCGCCGTGCTCATCGTCGCCGCTGGTACCGGTGAGTTCGAGGCTGGTATCTCAAAGAACGGACAGACCCGTGAGCACGCCCTGCTCGCCTTTACCCTTGGTGTCAAGCAGCTGATTGTTGGAGTCAACAAAATGGACTCGACTGAACCCCCATACAGCGAATCCCGATTCGAGGAAATCAAAAAGGAAGTCTCCTCCTACATTAAGAAAATCGGTTATAACCCAGCTGCTGTCGCTTTCGTACCTATTTCTGGTTGGCACGGAGACAACATGTTGGAGGCGTCTACCAAAATGCCCTGGTTCAAGGGATGGCAAGTTGAGCGCAAGGAAGGAAAGGCTGAGGGTAAGTGCCTCATCGAGGCCCTCGACGCCATCCTGCCCCCCGCTCGCCCCACAGACAAGGCCCTTCGTCTTCCCCTACAGGACGTCTACAAAATCGGCGGTATTGGTACGGTGCCAGTAGGCCGTGTCGAGACTGGTATTCTCAAACCTGGTACCATTGTTGTTTTCGCCCCTGCCAATATCACCACTGAAGTTAAATCTGTGGAGATGCACCACGAAGCTCTCCAGGAAGCTGTACCCGGTGACAATGTTGGTTTCAACGTTAAGAACGTTTCCGTCAAGGAACTTCGTCGTGGTTACGTCGCTGGCGACTCCAAAAACAACCCACCCAAAGGAGCTGCAGACTTCACGGCTCAAGTCATTGTGCTCAACCACCCTGGACAGATTTCCAATGGCTACACACCAGTTTTGGATTGCCACACTGCCCACATTGCCTGCAAATTCGCTGAAATCAAGGAGAAGGTTGACCGTCGTACTGGTAAATCAACTGAAGAAAATCCTAAATCTATCAAATCTGGTGATGCCGCTATCGTCAACCTAGTTCCTTCCAAACCACTGTGTGTGGAGTCCTTCCAAGAATTCCCTCCCCTTGGTCGTTTTGCTGTGCGTGACATGAGGCAAACGGTGGCCGTTGGTGTCATCAAGGCTGTCAACTTCAAGGAAGCTGGTGGCGGTAAAGTCACCAAGGCTGCTGAGAAGGCTACTAAGGGCAAGAAGTAGCTAGCACTGTTAACAGCACAATTTTTCATCCGACTGCGATACTTCATACATCGTAAGGTGTTCAGAAGGAAAGAAGGGCTACAAACTCATTCCTTTTCTATATTTTTTACAAGGCTTATACTGTAACATTATTTTATAATTTATATAAGGTTATACATATATCTAAAATATTTTGTTATGACTGCAACTAAAGTGTAAATTCATAGAATAAAGGTAGCCTCCAATAACAAAAATCTTTTATTTTATTCTAAAATTGGGTGTTGATCTGGCATGATTCACTATAGAGTACATAACACTAAATTTGATAATATAAGAGTGAAAAGGGGACAAATAAAATTAGACAATCTTGCCAGAACAATTGTCCATATTAAATCCTTCACAACTTGAAGAGTGGCAGAGATATTTCTCATGAATTTGTTTCTGAGCATTTTGGCTGATGGCCTACTTACTACAGACTATTATTCTGTACTGATAGGATATATTAACCTTGTACTCCCAGGATAGCATTCTTATTACTGCTAAATTTCAAACTTGTCAAAGAAACTGCTCTAACTACAAAACTACCTTGTACAGTAAATTTTGAAGGCGTGAGGGCCAGCCCACCAACCTATTGAATTTTCTTTGTTTTTTGTTACTTGTAGTCTCATTACAAGCTCAAATTTTTGTACGTAGTCGCACAAATAACCTTTTATTTATTACCATACATTAAAATTGAATTTAAAAATAAAACAAGGCTTCTTTCTAGCTTTATTTTTTTAAAACCTGCTACATCTTAATTTATACGAAACCAACATTTTCACTGGCTCCTTGGAGGGCACGCATATTGAACCTTCATAAAAACTTGAAAATTTTCAACTAAGAAAGTGGTCCCGCTATTTGATATCAAAATGACTGGACCACTAAGCCAATGAAAAGCACACCCTTGACCCTGTTCCCAGTAGTTCAACTGGTAAGACTACTGGGAATCTTCGTCCCAATAGACTTACTAATACTTCGCGTAGTGTCTATATTCTGTCTGCAAATAATTACAATAAAATAATAAAAGGACTGGAAAAGGATAGTTAACACAGTCAATTAAGTTCAGTTTTAATTTGAAAAATTAAATAAATATTCAATTAAAATCACTACTGAATTTAAGTTATTAGTCCATATGTAATTAGCACTTGTAAGTAACTAAAACACGTTGTGTCTATATAGAAACTAGAAACATGTGGATAAATATTATAAATATGAAAACAGTGATCAGAGGCGACGAGCGTGCCAACATTGTTTTTGACAACGCGATCATCTTATGGAGCTCCGTGGATCGTTCAAAGTACCTTTCGAACAGATGTATCCACCATTATTAGACACTTACATTCATAACGCGCCCGCGGCCAACTTCATGGTGTTACTATTGTGTTACAGTGATGCGCGCGCATCTCGAAATTTCACTCACATGATTTTTTCATAACGCGCCCGCGGCCAACTTCATGCTGTTACTTTTGGGTTATAAGTAGTGATGCGCGCGCATCTAAAAATTTCACTCTCATCATTTTTTCATAACGCGCCTAAAGAAGTATAACTTTAATAAATGTATTTTTTCCATAAAAAAAATACAAGTACTGTTAACGCATACAACATGAGACAGTCAACAATATTAAATACCCTTATAATAAAGATATTTAATATCGTTGGAGACAGTTAGCAATTTCAACCAGCCAGATCTATTGCCTCATAGTATCATTTATTACTTTACAAAATTATATTTTTTTTGGTGTGGTCTCAATTAACCTTCAAATGTTACAAACGTAACTTACTGATTTACACATGAGACACTAAAAATAAAAGAAATATTGTATTTTTTCATTATTTTGTAAATATGCCACATAACACGAGACTTGGAAAATAAAAAAAAATTCAGCTTAAAAAGTTAATAAAAGGATTTTTACCTTTACGTAAAATCAAATAAACACAAAACAAAATATTTTTTTTAATAAAAAAAAGAATTAAATTACAAAATAAAATTCTAATTGAGAGTTACTTCAGACGCATTTCAATTTATCTATCTCAATTTTTTTGAGAGTCGTGAATATATTTTTAGACTTTATCTCAGTTTATCCTACCCTACCCTTCCGCGAGAATTGTTAATTTTATTTTGATCACTTTTAGGCTTTGAGTACCTATTTTAAACGGGAGTAGCCCTTTTATTATTGCATTTTTTTAGTGATGTGACAAGATGTCACTCGAGCAAATGTTTTATCGGTTCATTTCATTCATTCTCAGTAGATACAGGGGCGTCTTTCCCATAGGAGTGCTGGGTGCTGCCAGGGTCGGGCGCCGGGCCCTAGGGGGCGCCAATCGGGGCGGGCGATCAACATCTGTATGAATCTGGTGGTAGATGTACATACCAACTTACCTTACCCAACTACAATTTTATAAATACATAAACGGTTTGCACTTTTAAAGTTAAATACAGGAAATATTTATTGGATGTGCAAAAGTTGTAATGAGGGTTGCAAGAACGCGGTTGATTTTGAGCACCATTTCATACGCTATAAATTTTAATTTAATTTAATTTTTTTGGCTTTCATTTTGTTTCAAAATATTTATCCAATTGATTTCAGTAATTTGACATTTGTATTTAAATCTATCATTCTTAATTTTTATTTTAAATGATATTTAAGACCGAAAATGTCATTTAATTTAAATTATTATCGATGACCTTAAATGTCATTTAATATAAGTAGGCTGCTGCTGAAAATCAGTGTCGTGGCACATGTTGCCTCGACATATATTGAGCAGTGGCCTGTTGTACACAATCACCTATATGTAACACAATAAGTTATTTTTGTAATTTGAGCCAAATAAACATTTTTATTATTATTATTACATATTATTATAAATAAATAGTTACGATTTAAGTACATACAGTCAGTTTTAATGATTGTTAACGTTTTTCTAGTCAACTCGGTTAAACTATAACACATACACATAAGTATGCTTGCTTATTTATGTGATTTATTTGTTTAGTCAAAATTTTTGTAATGCGCCCCGCATTGTTGGCTTTGGCACCCGGGCGTAGCATATGGTTAAGACGCCCCTGAGTAAATACATTGGTTAGATCCATGATGGATCTAGAGATAACTTATTTTCTTTTTAGATCTATTTGCATAAAAAAAATATACTAATGGATCTTCTCGCATATACGAAAGGAAGATTCCATTGATAAAATCAATTTGCCGGAAAAGAACCATTAGACCATAGGTATAACTAAAATGTTATTATGAAATATTGATAAAAATCTTATTCATAACCAGATAATAAATGAGATCCTCTTTTCCGAACCTCTTAGCCATCCTCCTGGTACTTTTTACGGAATAATGATTTTTATTTGGGAAATAAACAATATTTTATTACATTTAGATTAATTAAATATAGAAAAAAACATACATCAACAAAGTTCCCACTAACATTATTAGTACAGTTATGAGCAGCTGTGTATTTATTAAAAAAAACATATAATGTTAAATAAAAAACGACATTACATTACGAATTGAAATAATAGACAAACAAAAAAAATACATTCATAGATAAAATAAGCGTATCATTACTCTAAGGTAATTTTAAATATATAGAATAAAATATTAATACCACATTTATTCTATATAAAACATGTTATCGCATGCAAGAACAAAGTTTGAGATATTTCAGGTATCCAACATAGATCTAGCTTAACTACTGAGTATGAACGGTTTTCTCTTGGGTCATTATACATCAGATTCAACTTCACCATGTAGGTTGTCTATCAATTACCTAGGTCTATGTAAGAGAAGAACTATTGGGAGTTTTGTTTTACTGGTAAGTCTACTGGGTACAAAGTTCCCAGTGGTCTTACTAGTAACTCTATTGGGAAGGAAATTCCCAGTACTTCAACTGGTAAGATTCCTGGGAACAGGGAAAAAATACATGGTGTAATCTTAAACTGCGAACGCCTAATTTTAATACGATTTATTGCGACTTTTTAAAAAGGGTAAACTAAACGCCTAAACAAATTGTAAGAACAATAAATTATACTTGGCTTAAAATGATACTTTTTCTTCAGGCGCATTTTAAATCTAAACTTTTTTTGGTTGAAAATACAGTTGAACTATAATAATTAATCAAAGGTAGTCGTATTAAATTAGGTGTGCGCAGTTAAAGATCACGCCATGTGTTTTTCATTAATGGACTAGTGGTCCCGTCATTTTGATATCAAAATAGCGGGACCACTTTCTTAGTTGAATATTTTAAAATTTTATGAGTGCATTTTTTTCTATGAAAGATTCCAGTATAAAATAGCAAAATTCTGCATTAAATCCTAATCAAATTATATTCGGAAAACCTGGCGAGATCCCATTCATGAATTTCAGAAACTTGGCTTTTCACCCCCCACTCCGCAACGTAAAGTACCTATACATTCCTTTTTTGAGTTATAAAGACGAGCGAATTCGACAGAATTCCGCCTATTTTCAGCTCGGAAGGAATACGTTGCGAAGATAAATTCACTTCGAGTATGCGCTAATAGGTATGAATTGGCCAATAATAGGTTAGGTAAGGTATTGCTAAAAACTTTTGAAAATTCAGCCCGTAATATGATCAATTCATGCTAGCGCAGGCTCGAAGCGAACCGTAATAAAGCGAATTCAACATTACCTTCGCTTCGTTATTATGATAAATACACACATATTCCTTTTGAGGTAAAAAGAAAATGCTCAAATACACGTGAATTCTGCTGGTGGATTACGTTGCGAGATAAGGGTGCTATCACTTTTTCTAAAATTCGCTACGTTTGCTTCTGCTCTGCTTTAGAATGAATTGTGTGCGTGCCCTTCGAGAGGCCACTGTGGAAACGTAGGTAGGTTTCGCACACAAAGATTTAGCAGAACCTTCAAAAAAATTGAAGCCAGAAGGATAAAGGAGACGGTTCAAAAGCGGTAGTCTGTTTCCCGCAGCGATGAAACATATGTCATTAAATTGGAAAGCTTGTTTCATGTAATTACATTCATCGGCATCAGCAATATATATGATTCGGCTCGAAGGTTGATGAATAATAGGCTGGACTGTATAAGTATGTAGGTATTAAAATTATATTAGGCTCAACAAATAATAGCCCGACAATGTGTGTACGCACAGAGCCAATAGCGGTCTTGAGGAGAGTGTCGAGCGAGCGGCAGCACAGACATCGTGCAAACGAATAAACTATGTACTATGTGGAAGTCAGTAGTCCATAATGCTGATCAGGGTTGGTGAACCAATGGCATGCATGACACATATTTTGGGCACATCACTGATCAGAAAATGAATTAAGTACTACATAATGTCTTACAACCCTATGATATTTGTCTTGTAATCCGCAACAACAGGAGTCACGCATAGCAAAATGTACTGCAAATGCATACTAAATAAAGAGTTCTGAATTGATACTATTTATTATTTCCAAAATAATCACAAAGTCAAAATTATTTGATTAGACTTCTATGACCTCAATAAACATTTATATTGAAAAATGGCATTTTAATACCTAAAGGCTCTCCATCCCTGGAATAGATGGTATGTTGTGGTCCTTCCTAAAATGAAGTGCGGTCTGGTTTACGAAATGTGGTTCAGGTTGTTATGTGGATGTAGTGCAGCATACATATTCACAACTGGACTGAACTCACAGTTATTTGGTTATTAAATTCTTGGTGCTAACAAAATGGGTAGTTTAAAGAAATATAAGTATAAAACAAAGCATATTTAATTTTAGAATCTACTATAATATTCCTTTGTGGTAGAAATATTCTTAGCTACAGGCTACATTCATATATTGAAGAAAGTGTTTAAGTTTTAAGATGTAATATTAGCATTGTCATTTTCATTCAGTTCTTCTTGCTCTATAATGTAGTTAGACCATTCTTCAGCTCTTTTATATCTTTGCCGTTTTGCATATGGAGCATAGAACCATCTATTAATTATAACTAAGCCTGTTGTAATAGTCAGAGCCATAAAGGTCTTTGCTAAAGGTCCAGAGTTTCTAATCCACTGTGCTGCTTCACGCATATTTACTCCGGTATAGGTGTGGTTTCTTCACTAGATATTTCTTTATTTGTTCTCTTTCGAGGAAAATGTTCCTCAAAAATTGGTTTCCAGATATAAATTCCACCAAATACACCCAATATCGTGACTAGAATTATCTGTCCTTTAGTTACTCCACGCGGTCTATATATTCGCATTATAATAAATATTGCTGTAGATTTTTAATTCATAGTTAAACGACTTGTTTACTAGATTCACAGAATATGTATAATGTGATCAGATTTCAAGAAAATTGGTTTTAAAAATAAAAACCTAACCTGGGAAATGACTGTCAAAGTCAAATCAAACATTTTTTTCTTCCTATTCTAGGAAGGCAAAGGGAACATAGCCCATGCAGCCTCGTTTTAAGATTTTTATTTTAATATGTGTCTCATTTAATTATTCTTTAGTTCGTTCATAATGGATATCGTGAAATAAAATTGGTGTGATTTTGTTTTACAACCATCTGCACAACTGAAGAATTGTTGGAATCTTTAAAATATACGCTATTCCATTCCATTACAGCGATAAACAGGAGAAGGATCGGACCAAATAAAACACTGTGTTCCGATGCAGTGGACGTGGGAACTTTATTGTAGTGTTGACTACCTCACAGACGCTTATCGAGAAAATTGTTTCTATACATTTCGTGCCAAAAACTCAAAGAAACATTAGAACGAGTCATGCCCACATTCTAATGTAAAAAAAAAATAACAAAGAAATCTGACTAGGACTAGGCCGTATGGGGGTTGTTTCCTTTGCCTTCCTTAAAAAGGGAGAACGTTAAAAACAGACTTCAGGCAAAGAGAAAAGAATATAAGGGAGGCAAGGACAATGTATCCACTCCTAGGGACACGATATCGAATAGAAAGTATCGATACTGTACTCATGAGTAGTATCGGAAAAAAAGTATCGTACTCGTAAAAGTATTGAAACAAAAGTATCGAGTACATTTCATAGGGCCTGATCGAATTTCTCTGTGGCCTGATGAGCAACCCCCCCCCCCCCCCCCCCGGCTTAAAATTGTATTATAGTACGTATAATCAAAAACAAAAAAAGGACATGTAAATTTACAAATTGCGATATTATGTAGCTACTCTTAAAAATGTGTATTATTAATATAATCAACTACAAAACTAAACGTGCGTAGTTAAATATATAATGAGAAGAAAATAGCTGTGATTTCTGACACTAAAAAAGTGTTCATTAATACTACATTCCTAATTAAAATGTTAATTAAAAAGATCGAAATCTTAAACAATATAAAAGTATAATACTTTTCAGATTTGTTACATATTAAACTTACTTTTCTTGAATTTTAATCATTAAAAAACAATATAGCCACTTAAGTTAACTTGAACCTGACAAACAGTTAACGGTGGCCATTGGCATGCTTCACTCAAGATTATAATTATAGAAAAGGTTACGTCCGTCTTTTTTTCAGGTTCGTGGTTTCAAATAGGTATACACAGTACAGACAGTATAATATTGTAACACTTGAATAAATCAAATACAGTCAAGCGAAAAGCACAATAAACGGCGAATCAATCACAGTTCCAAATAATATGGTCGCATATGAAATAAAAAAAAGCGCAAAATAAACACAGTCACAGATTGGAAAGTATTTGAATATGTCAGTTACTGACTTTATAACGACGCAATGGAACGTTTTAGAAGGTTTGCTATGATTTAACAAGATAGTGTTGCCATCAATATGAGGGGCTTATCCAAATTTTTAAAGGTATCGGCCAAAAAGTACTCATTTAGTAAAAGTATCGGTATCGAAAGGAAAAGTACTCGATGCCACAAAGTATCGATACCTTTTTCGAGTCTCTATCCACTCCAATGCCAATAAATAAAAAAAAATATATAACCTACGTTTGATTTTAGGTTACTTTTGTTTGTTGATATTGTTTAGTTGAATCACATTAAATTCTTAGATACTAAACCCGTAATAAACACTGAAGCAGTTATTTTTTATGGAAACTTGCTTACAATGGCAAACCGTCCACGAGCTATACCAAACTTGTTAATTACAGGTAACTTACGTAGGTTAGCCAACGATATTAAAAACCTTACATACCTACAACGTTTTTAATATCGTTGAGGTTAATGTGGAAATACAATTCACATTTTAACCATTTCTTAAAAAATATTGATTGATATATAGGGACGCCGGGTGTTGGAAAGTCTTCCATTAGTAAAAAGTTATCGGAGAGGACAAACTTTACATGGCGAGAGGTTTCGAAACTTGCTGAGGAACACAACTGTCTTGATGAATATGATCCTGAATACCAGTGCCCATTTTTGAATGAAGATAAGGTAGTTGTATGATTTGGGACAGCTACGCCTCAATTTCTTTTGACCCGGGTGTTACCTTCAGGGAAAGGTTAAATTCAAGTGTGTTTTAAGGCAAATCAAAGTTAGCTTATAATTTTGTAAATCTTCATTTGTCTAATAAACCAGATTATTAACTCCAAATATTTAATGTAGTTTTGTCACTGTTCAGCAAATTACATGATGAACACTATACAACATTACTTTTCAAATATTATTTGTAAATAAGAAGTGAGATCAATCAACAGTTTTGATCTTGCAGGCATTTTTTTTGTTGTGGCCAGTTTCAATAATCAACCTCTAGTAAAATTATTTTTTTCTGGTTCCGTTTCTTAGTAACAGTGTGGTTATCCAAATTATAAAAATCTTTGCAAGAAAGCTCTAATAGGCCTATCTCTTGAACTTAATTTTGAAGCTGGCTGCTAGTTATAGATTCATGCAGAAGACAATTTTATAAAGTTCAAATCTGTTGTTGAATGCCTATTTAATATTAAAAAAAAACATAATATTAAATTTTATAAAAATATTAATTTTTATTTGTGTCACTGGCCACACACAAGGTTTGCGAGTTGACTTACAATAGGCCTGTTGAGGAGGTGAATAGTTTTGTCTAGGGTTTTTAGTTTAGTTTATTCTAATAAATAACTTGTCTTGATAAAAAAAGCATGAAGTTACTGTATTAAAATTGATGCCAAATTATTGAAACTAAGTTTCTGTTTTTCTATTCAGTTACTTGATATTATGGAGGGCATGATGGCCAAGGGTGGCAACATTGTAGACTACCATGGATGCGACTTCTTTCCAGAAAGATGGTTTGATGGTGTTTTCGTTATCAGAACAAATAATACTACATTATATGACCGATTAACAGCAAGGTAAATAAAAATTGAGAAAATTAGTAAATTGTATTTTTTCCATGGTTGGTTATGATTTTTAATGACATTATTTTTAGACTAGTAACTTTATTACTTATACATTTAAGATGACTCAATTCTGCAGAGGTCTAAATTCTTAATTTTTCAGGGGATACCAAGGGAAGAAATTAGAAGATAATGTTCAATGTGAAATATTTGAGACTCTTCTTGAAGAAGCACAATCTTCCTATAAACCTGAAATAGTTCAAGAACTGCAAAATGACACAGAAGCACAACTCCAAAGTAATGTAGATACTATTGTAGAATGGATTGAAAGATGGAAAGAAGATAATTTATAATAAAAGATTTTATTTATGATATCACTATTTAAGTTCATTATTGCATTTTCCCCTTTCCCCTTATTTGTAATGTTGAGAAAAAGGGACAATGGACCATGCATGACCCATGTAAACAAAAGTACAGATTGGTGGGTTCCTTGGTGAGACCTAATAACTAGAGATGTAGTTGGAATTTGGCACAAACAGCATTATAGTTCCTTCCCCAGCCTGGCAAGAGCGCATAATAGTGAATTTGTTGTCACCCAACTAGCTATTACAAAACAAGCCCTGTAGTCTCCATAAATCCGTAAATGGAATGCTCTGCCTGCTTAGTGTTCCCTCCTTCTTACAACTTGGGATCCTTTAAAAGAGGCGTGAAGGCGCGGTGTCGCAGGTAGAACTGCTGTACCAGCTATCTTCACGTCTGGACTTCACCATCACTTAACATTGGGTGGGGTGGAGTCATTTGTCAGACGTAACTATTAAAAAAAAAGTCTCAGTATTTTAAATGCTGAACCTATTTTCATACATGAAAAACTACAGTTTTCATCATAATTTATTGTGGATGATTTATCAGTATATATGACCAATAACAAAAACTAATCTTCTGAAACAAGGATGGGTCACTATCACATATGTGTAGGTACACCTATTTATTTTTATTTTTTCTTATTTCAGAAAGCAATGTTTTTAATTCTAGGTTTGTTCTCCCCTATTTCAGTCAGTTATATCTGTCCATACGTACTCTTACTGAATCTGATAGAGTATAACGTGTTTAAGTAAACAAACCACACTAATAAAGGCGAAAGTTTGCGAGTGTGTATATTTGTTACTCATATCCCTAATAAACCGCGGGGCACAGCTAGTAAATTAAAAAACAAAAAAGGTCAAGGGGTTATAGAAATAAATCCAGTAAATGTTATAAATACAACCTAATTTATTCATTAGCCCACCGACATATATATAAGAAATGCATTAAAAATTACTGTATTTAGATCTCTTTATGCTAGGTAAGACTGAACTGAAAACTGGGTAACTTGTAATTATTATGGGAACATAAAATGGCAGACAACAAAGTGTACCAAGTTTACAAGTCAGTGTATGTTGATCAGGGTGTCTAAAGTTAAAGTAATAATCGTGTGTCAATGCTTTTAGTTAGTAGTTTTGATTATTGCCACAGTTACTGTTACTTAAAATCACAAATATATTTGGTTACTCGTTGCTTATTTGTTATCTTCACTTCTGAACACATCTATCGGCCCACTTAGCATTTTAAGTTTTGATGGTACCTAGCTAAAATAAATATTACATTGAGCAAAAAGTTACTACCTACGCAGTTTTAAAGCTGAAAATTAACCATATTTTCGTGTGTTGTTAAAATTATTGCTAGACCATAAACATTATTTATTTGCTACAGACCGTTGAATCTTATATGTAACACTAAGTGGGTAGATAGGTGTGTCCTAAAGTGTATATGCATTTATTTTATGTTTAAGTAACAAGAACTGTGTTAAAAAGTGATGCTATTGAAACACGATTTTTAACATTAGCGTAGCAGAATCGACACCCAGGCACGCAGTTCGCACGCACTGCATTCACTCACAGATCTTCTCTCTTATAAAAGTATGATCACAACTTAATTTAAAGCTCCGTCTTCTTGGCGTTGCCCTTGCGGTCCCAGCCGCTAAGTTCGCTGGACGCGTGCTCTGACACGTATTTCACGAAGTCTTCCAAAGCACGACCGCCCTGTCATAAATAATATTATTACATATTAAGCGGAAAAATAATAAGATTAAGAGTCCTTTTACAAAATTGCGCCGCTGCCGTACTGATCGGCGCGTAGGTAGATTTGCACTAGTATATATTGCATTTTACGGGTGATGTTTCGAGTCTTATAAAATAATTATTAATGAACTAATTATAAAAATATATACATATTTCAGTAGTTCAATGATGGTAGATTAGTTTTATGAAAGTTTTTGATAGTAATTCTATTTAATTCAATATCAAAATACGAGGTAAACCTTCATTATTTTTTGGGAAAACTCACGAAGGTTAGATAGATGTTTTTTTTTATAATTAATGAGATAGAAAATCGAAATTTTATATTTCTGATGTCGTAGTAATTAATTTGATCTAATTTACTGAATATTATTGGGAGATTGAGGCGTTTGAAGTTGTGCATATTATCGTTTTTTTCTGTAAACTAGCTGCAGTAGAACGATTAGTATAAAAAAAGAAAATAGTATTTGCAAATATTCTATTTTAACTTACAATAGGACCAGGGTTCCGAACCTGGGGGTAATTACCCCTCGGGGGTTAAATCAGCCATACTTTGGGGGTAACAAAGAACCTAATTATTTGGTCAAATCTAAGAAAATACTATATAATAAAACTACTAAATAGAGCATGCGCTCCATCTTGCTAGCGAGCCCGCCGCGGGGTGCTGAGTGTGGGAAGCGGGGCGAGATTTTCTCCTGATGATGACATTATTAGAGACGAAGATGTAGCGGCCAAATTGGAATTTCTTGGACTGATGTTAACATTTTAAAGTCGGGGTAAAAGCTGTTTTCCTAATAGGTTACAGGGGTAGCAGTATTGGAAAGGTTAGGAAACACTGCAATAGGAAGAATAAATCTACTGTTTACTTCTATTGGAAATAGTCAAAATCTTTTCTGCGATGCGCTCAAAAATTACGATTTTTTGCAAAAAATGTGAAGGGCTCTTAATGACACTTCAGCGATCAGATTGCAAGGAAACTGCTTGTAGTGTATGATGTTGAACAAGGAGCGAAAGAATTGCAGGGGTGAGAGGACAAAGGTGTTAACTAACACATTTGTGTTGTGTTCATATCACATTTGCAATCTTGAAATGTATGCATTGTTTGTCAGTAAACACTTTTGCTAGGGTCTTGTTTTTGACACGAATCAAAATATTATGCGTATTTTTATCCGATAACACTTTTTTCCACTCATTCCTTCCAATTGTTAACCTTCATTTCTGGAAACATGGGAATCGTTTGGAACTTCTATCACGAGACCTTTCAATATGTAAGATATATTTAAATATTCCAACCTGTTAGATGAACAGAGTTGATATTTTTCTAGTGAAAAATAACTTAAGTAATAAGAAAATCTAGCATTGTAATGCTGAAACCAAAAACTCGCCCACTGCTGGTTCCGTACAAAATTGTAGGTACGCATTATTAACGGCCGTATCTTTTCTTACGTTAACTTGGAAGTGTGATTTTTTCACAGCTTCAAGAGACTGTATGTTTGACTATATCGTTTAAATTTCAACTCAATACATGAGAAAAAGGGTCATGAAAGACGGACAACAAAGTGATCCTCTAAAGGTTCGGTTTTTCCTTGTAAGGTATGGAACCCTAAAAATAAAATAAAACTGCAATGCTATTTATTTCCGTTTTGGAATGTTTGACACTAATTAATTTGATATTGTAGGTAACTGCAATCAAATAAGATATTGTATATTGTAGTTACCTACAATGTGAAGAACTAAGCTAATGGTAGCCATACACACTACGAGAAAGGGGGCGTCCATAAATTACGTGAGGTGTTTTTTTGGATTTTCTGTCCCTCCCCCGTCCCCCCTGGTGAGATGTCGTGAGATTTTATTCAACCCCATCCCCCAATCTCACGTAAGATTTTTCAAAATGTGGGTTTCTTTCGTAAACGCGTTGGATTGTTATTGTAAAAAGAAAAGAAAATGCTTCATGCTTTTATTTACGACTAGTTAAGACTAGTTAGTAATCAATATTGCTGAGAAGGCACGTTATAAGTGTAATAAAAATTTAACAATAGAATACTTAATAGATACTACTGTGAAAAAAAATTGCGTGATATTTGCCGAGACCCCCCTCTCTCCAACGTAAGATTTGACTCTTGACATACCAAGTGTCTGCAAATTAATTCAGTTCATTGGGTAAGATTAATTTTAAACGGAAATCCCAAAAAATCCCATGAGTGGCTTGTAGATAGCAGTTTTTTTGCCCCGCCCACTTGATCGCGATTTGGATGGAACCACTTTTTAGAGAAGTTCGTATTCCAAATTTTTTCTAATTCGTTGCTATAATGTGATAGAATATTTGTAAATTAATTTAATGTTGAATGGATTGTTTGGTTTAAAATGTGTGATATGGGCTGCTGTGCTCCGAAATAAATAATCGTTATTTTTTATTTTATTCATTAATTATTTCGAGAGTTACTTACGTTATATCTGACGGGCTTCTGAGAGGAGTCCTTGGGCTTCCAGTAGATGGTTGGGAAGCCGGAAACCTCGAATAGAGACTTGGGCCAGTCGTTGGCGGTCGCATCGATCTTCACAATATCCACTTCCTCATTCTTGAGCTGTTAATATAAATTCATTATTTGAAATAAAATTCACCATCAATCCATTAAGTATTAAATGCCCCTTCTTTTTTTATAAATAGGTCTATGACTCCACCTCAGCTGATGTTAAGTGACAGTGGAGACCAGACGTGAAGATAGCTGGCCGACCTGCATAATTGCTTCTTCACAAGTCTTTTAAAGAATCCCAGGTCTACTATTAGAGCATGGAATGGAGCAGTCCTTGTTTATCAATGGAATAAAGAGGACGGGCCATAATCCGCCATCCTAACTAGGGTTAGTTAGAATTGCTGAGTGGTTACAACTGCAAAGAATAAAAGATTAGGCAAACAAAATCACCTTATCTCCGAGTTCCTCCCAAATGGGCTTCAGTTTCTGACAGTGACCACACCAGGGCGCGATGAACTTAATCTTTATTTTTTACATATAAATTCCAATAACTACATAGCTTTGCAAGAGACTTTCCCTTGCAAAATTTAGTAAAAATAGTCGAGATTAGTCAAACAAAATCACCTTATCTCCGAGTTCCTCCCAAATGGGCGTCAGTTTCTGACAGTGGCCGCACCATGGCGCGTAGAACTCGATGAGGGCGTCGCGACCGCTGTCCGTCACCAACTCCTTGAAGTTTTTGCCAACGGCCACCTTCACCGGGCCATCGTTGCTCTCCGGCACAGCTTCGGACTTGATGAACGGCTCCAGTTTGCCATCGACCAAGTCCTTGGTGAATGCCAACAGGTTCTCAATGCTGCAAGTTTAATATTGCAAGCAATTGATATACAGCTGTACTCAGAGGTCAACATAATAACACTTCATTAACAGACAATTTCAATTATCAACCTCCAATAAAATGTAAAGACAATCTGGTTCCGTTACTTAGCAAATGTAATTATTATAAGTCTTAATAATAAAAATATTCTGGCAACAAATCTTTAGTTTTATTTTTAAAACGGAGTCTACGAAGTCATGCACTTATTCTATAGTTATCGCAAAGAAAGTGACAGACAATTTTTGTCAAACTTAAAAGTTAATTAACTCCTCTTGAGTGTGGCTCTTAGTTGTTTGTATTTAATAGAAATCACTAAGGGTGGAAGGGGAATTTGAATTCTATGCTGAACAATCCCTCAGAATATAACCGAGGTCTTAATTGATATACTAAGTTTAGTTATTTATTTATTCGGAATTCAGAACATCAATCATATTAAATGTATATCAATATTCAATCAAGCTCTTTAAACAGAAATAATTATTATGGTTTAACTAAACTGAGGCAATTGAAAAGCTTATGAGAATACCTTGACTTGGCTGTCTATATTCATCTACTATCCAAGTATATAAGATGTACACTAGCATGCTCGCGACTTCGACTGAGCAGTAAATTGATACTTCAGTTTCCACACATTTCATCCCTCATTTTACCCCATTAAGATTTTATTTTTGTGCCAAAAAGTAGCCTTTTACCGTCTCCCAGCATTTATTTGTATACCAAAATTCAGCATAATTCAGAAGTAAAATCATAATAGCCAAAACAGTCAGTTTTTAATATATAACAATAATATTAGTTTAGATTAAAGAAGATTTTCTCAAACATAATTTCTAGTTACTGGCCATTTTTGTTATGAAGTCGAACAATGCTTATCATGGTTATAAAACGCGATAAGCAGGTTGTGACTACAGTGGAAACAATTGGCGTGTTAAATCAGAAAAGCATTATCGTTAACATTTAACTTCATAAACTTTGATTTCTCTATCATTGAAATGGTTTCTCTGTAATTATCATCGGCTTCCGATATGTAAATAAAAAATTCAAATCATCTTAATTGCGAATACAGGTTACAAAGTTGTCCAGATAAATTTTAGCACATCAAAATATAATATTTAAATTGCTAGGAAAAAAGGCTTCCATATTACATGGAGTATCCTATCTTACTATATTATAAATGTGAAAGTTTGTATGTTTGTTACTCAATCACGCAAAAACGGCTGAACGGATTTGGATGGAACTTGGTACTGTAACGTCCGTTACGTTACTGCCTCCTTGTTTAGGTAAACTCTTTGCTTTTGCAATGCCTACGGTTGGCAGTTATATTAAAAAGTTAATGTCATGATTTTAAGATTTGAAATAAGGAATCTCTTGATAGAAGGTTCCATACAAGAGACGATCTTCAGGCACCAACCCTTTCGTAGCTTAGATAAAAATAATTATATTCGCCTGAATCAAATAAATAACATTAACAATCTAGTATCTTTTAATTAGTAACTACGTCCCCTGAGTTTTATCCACTCTGGCTAAAACTCCTCAGTACCTACACATATAGTTCATTAATAAGACGTAGGAAACTTTTCATCATGGAAATATGTATACTTTCTATGGGATTTAAAAATAAAGTTAACGCGGTCGAAGTCACGAGCGAAAGCTAGTAGATCATAAATCCTTCACAAATTCACAATGCCTCTATAAGGATGGATGAAGACTATTATAATCCTGCATGATTTGAAAATCCCTTTTTTACACGAAATTAGAATAATACGAAATGAGACTAAGTTAAAAACTTTCCAACTATCTGCGCTTAAGTGCTTGAGTGATGTTCAAGTTTCACATTTTGATCGCTCATGGTGTATCTAGGGTATTTAATATCGTTGACGCTATCGTTTAATTTCAGAGTGACGGAGTCTTGGATATGCTTCTATATCATTATGTAATTAATTTACTAAATAATACTAACAATAAAAACTTGTCGTTTACCTGAATTCGGCACTCATGACGAACTTGTTCCCGTCGGCGTCGCGGCCCGCTACCACTGGTTTGTCACCCTTGGCGAAGTCCACACCGAACTCATTCATCTCGTTGGTAAAGTCATCCTTGTCACTAATGGCGAAGGTCACTTCCGACATCTCTTTGGCAACCTAAATAAACAATTTTGTTTGATAATTGGGCACACACACCAGACAACAATCAGAATGACTCGAGTGGTATGTACGCCGGTTTTCAAGTTGTCGCATACTCAGAAAGCTCAGGTTTGAATCCCGGTGGGGTTAAATGTTTCTGTGATAAATACGAGTATTTGTACCTTATTATATATACATATATATATTTTTCATAAGTGTTACATGTTTAGATCTAAAGAAAATTTTACTAATAGAATTTCTTCTAGTAGAATTGTCTTTAGTATATATATATATTACAGTTATGTTTTTTTGATCAACACATTACTTTGGCGAAACGGCAAGGTAACATTGTCAGTTTTCCGGGGACCCCCCGCACAACTGAATAAAATATTTAATTTATAATTTTTTTGACATTAAAAGCTTCGGAAAATATAAATTATACAGCTAAAGTAAAGACAGACCTTGAGCACTCGGTTCCTCCAGTAGTTGGTGCCCTTAGGGTTCTTCACGTAGTCCACATCGTAGTAAGCAACAACCAATGGGTTGCTGAAGTCCTGAAGGTTGTCCTTCTGACGTACTCCGACTAAACCGTGGCTGTCAACAATATCGAGCATAAAGCTGTACAGCAGCAAATGTGAAGCATTTGGAAATATCCTCTTCTAAACTATTTATAATATTTACGATTACGATACGAGGCGCAACAAATACTCCACCCCACCTGATCTTAAGTGTAAGGCCTTGTTCAGACGACACGCACACGCTACGCGTAAGCACGCGCGTGGCCACCCACGCTTCGATATTGGTAGTATAGAATTTGAGTCTTATGACACTTCAATAAAGCTCTGAATCCGTTTATCAAAGTCCAACCGCGCACGCCACGCACACGTCGCGCATACGCAGATATATTCGCGCGATAAACGCAATTTGAGATTTATTGATGTGTCTTAAGACTCAATTTTATGCAACCAATGCATATGTCTTGCACCTGCGTTTCAGCTAGAGCGGGAGGTACGCTTAGAAGAAAAGAAAAAAACATGGCGTGTGCGTGGTCGGCGCGTGTCATCTGAACACGCCCTAAGTGGAGTCCAGTAGAGAAGGTGCCATCTTGGTACCTCTTCAGCCATCCTCACCATACCGGCCTAAACCCGATCCTCTACCCCTGGAACCCTACTCACCAACAGAAACACAACACCACCAAAAGGTAGTGTTATTTTACTGTTTTTCTGAAAGGTGGAGGTTGCTTCCCTAGACAGGCGCTTCAATTCAAGAAGAAAATCTCTCTATCTTAGAGAAATATAATGTTATATAAAGTATCAACATGTTTTATGCATACAATTTCTACTTGTATAGAACTGTCAATCAATATCAATAGCAATTGGTTTTACTTAAATATTTGTAATGAACAATTCCGAATATTTTGCTAGATGTATTATGTTTTTTTAATGTTTTTGTAACACAGTTTTTGTACTGTGGTTTTGACCTAAAATGATAAGCAAACATTTAAAGTTACTACAAAAGCAATAAATTAACAAGTATTAAATTTCATGCCTACAAGACTGTAACATTATTGTAATGACAATATAACTCACAAGTTCTCCTTGATGAATGCCTTGAGGGTCTCTGGCTCGCCCTTGTACACAACCAGGGAGTCTTCAAACTTGTTCTGGAGTTTTTTCGGTCGGAACAACACCACATTGTTTCTGTTAACAATAGAAACACACATGAAAATTTTGTAATTTTCATTTTCTTTATGATTGTTCATTACGCATGTAAGTTAATGTCATAAATTGTAAAAATATTACTCAATTCATAGCTGGGTAGTTTTCAACATAGTTAATACTGTATTATCATCTGTTCTAGTACAAGGGTAAGGCAAACTTGTGGATGTAATCATTTAATGAATGAGCTGTATAAAACTGAATGAAAATACCTAGTAAGCTTTTGGCATGGTTTTTAATTTGTAAATTTAGTAATTGTTACACTGTTTTAGGCATTTTTGATTGAAAATTATTTGAGATTCAAATTTGACCGACCCCAAACCTCGGTATTGTAAAAAAAAAGTAGTTTGACCAGATGCGTAATTATACCGTTTTGTTCGCGAGCTCTTCTTTTGATTGTCATACAATTCATGTTAAATATGTGACCAACAGAAGCTTACATCTTAAAGAATGTCTAATGGTATATGTTGCTAAGTGGTCAGTAAAAAAGAGGAGACATTTATAGCTTAGAATTTATTTGAGATAATGATAGATGAAAATGAGTACCTACTCATGACAAAATCTTGAAGCAATAACTATCGTTCTATGGCACTATTTTGATCAAAAGATAACAAAATAATGGTTAATCAAAACCACACCATGTTATAGCCCCAAAGTAAGCACTATAAGGCTTGTGTTATGGGATACTAGGGTAACGGATAGAATACATATACTGTACATATATAAGTATATTTTATATAGATTTAATTATTAAACATCCATGACTGGAGTACAAATGCTCGTATTCATCACACAAACATCTGCCCCCACCGGGATTCGAACCCGGGACCTCTCGAGTCGGCGACACCATGAAACCCGGCGTACAAACCACTCGGCCAAGGAGGTCGTCTTTATACCAGGGGCAAGAGAAAATTGTGCTAAAAACATAAGTGCTTTGATTAATAAATCACCCCCTGCCTACTATTTTAATTCAAAAGAGATGGAATGAGGTTTAACATATTTCATTTAACATTTTTAGATGCAGTGAGTGTGAAAGTTAAAATAATGACAGGTGTACCTATAGACGTAAGGAAGAGGAAACATGTTCTATGACATTGAGAAATTAGAAACAGAGGATTTTACGAAACTAAACTACCTAACTTAAACAATTTCAGATCATTAACTGTAGTGTATTAACAGACCATTATTGCATTACATCCTATAATGTTTAAGGAAACATAATAACAAGCATGAACTGTAAAAAAGTACTGAATTAATCAATCCATAACATCATTATATACGGGAAATTGAATTTCATAGTTACAATTAGTAGGTAGTTGTGTAATTACTTCTAAACATAATATACCTAGCTATTTTTCCTTTTTTAAAAACCCTGCAATTAAAATTCGAGTAATTATATTTAGGTAAATATGTAAAAAATAATTATACATAATAAAAGAACCCTGAAAACATTACACTCTCTTTTTATGCAGTCCTGTAAATACTAAATAATATATAGTATAAGTAAATAGGTTTAATTCGAATATTGTATGTTAATTATCAATTTACCATCTTCATAATTTATGAAGTTTCAAACAAAATTTCATCCCCTGTTGTAACTTCTAACATGGTGAATTTTGGAAAATAAGAAAACTAAGTGTGTAATAATAATTTTGGTGGAAACTTTCAGAAAAATCCATTTATTGGTTTGAGTTGTGTTTTGATAATCTATCAGTCAGTACTGGTTGCCTTTTATTTAGATGACGAGTATCTACTGCTAGCAAATTCTGATATAAGTGGAATTATGCTAGAAGCTAACCTAACCAAAAACACAACTAGCGAGAAAGTATTTGTATCACCATGTCAAAGTTTCTATGGACAAAGCTTGCTTGTTCTAGTATTTGGTAGAGCAGCTGCTTAGTTTCCACAGAAACTTTGATGTTGGCGATAAAAATATGAAACTGTCAAATTTTGTGCTTGGGGTACAGTACTGAGACTAATCAGTGTTTTATCCCTATAGAAAATTACACTTCATGACATGAAAATTATGTTATGGTAGAAAATAAAATTTAGTAGGTAGATGATGACAATAAAATAATTTATCAACTCATTTTGTTAATTAACAGTTGGAGTAAAACTTAATATGTGGAAGTTTTTAATTGGCTTTTAGATATTGTTTTGTTTTTATTTAATAACTGATTGGTAGCTGCAAACCTTCCTAAAATAAAAAAGTTTACAACAGGCCTGTTTCACAATCAATAAGTAAAGTTCTATGTTAGTGAAGTAACTTTCTAGCAATAAATTTCTTGAGACTAAAAATCCATCAGCTAAATTCTTAAACAAAGTAATAATTAAAATTCTAGTATGTTATTTGCATAGCAGTGTCTGGTTGTACTCTATTCTTAAATAGTCCTGATATCAACTGAATAAATAACAAGAGTGAAAAGAGTTTATTTAACAGTTACTACCTATTTTATTAAATAAGAATGTTAATTTTTATTAATTTGTGGAATAACAGCCAATTATTAAGTATAGTTAGTATTATAGTTAATTAGTGTCGTGGTTTTAAATTGGATAAGGATATACAGTATGTAAATTTAGTTTTACGCTAATCACTGTATTTGAACATAAAAATGAGCTAATTAACGAAAATAAATTACTTACCAATTCTGTATTCTTACTTACTAGGGAAATACTTTCATGCATAAATTTAAATCAAAACACATATTTAAAAACAATAATTTATCTTGATTTAAATAAAAATCATTTTTAGTACTTACTTGTATCCACTCTTTTCGAGAACTTCCTTGGTGGAGGTGTGGGCGAAGGAAACTTCTTCACGCATCTTGTCAGCAGTCTTCAGAAACTCTCCCTTAAGGTCAGTCTCCTTTTCAAAGAAGCCCACTACAACTACTTCATCCTTGGCAATGAAAGCTTCATACTCAGCCACAGAACGCAAGTCTTTGGAGCTGGGGCCAACCTGGGCTCTCATGTACTTGACAATCCCATCTAGTTAGTAATAGGAGTGTTAATTTTTAGGAACTAAATTTACTGTATTATTAAAACAAAAAAGACACACAAAATTAGCTACAGAAATCCTTGTGAGCGCTAATAAAGTTAAATTGTTTATTTGAAACATAAAAACTTTATTTGAATTATTTTTTGACATAACTTATAAAACAACTTACTAGACTCCCTAGGGCCATTGTATTCCTGTGAAACTTCTCCTTTTCTGAATATTTTCAGTGTAGGGTATCCAGACACTGAGTACTGTTCACAAGTACTCTTTCCACCCTCAGTGCAGTCTACTTTGACTAGGGCAACTGGAGGGTCATCGTTCTTCAACACGCCTGCTGCCACCGCAAACTCCGGCTTCAGTCTTTTACAGTGACCGCACCTTTAATTATATAGGTAAAAGTTAACAAGTGTACTCTCTGATAGATGATGTATAGATTTGTGTGAAACAATTGCACACTTAAAAGTATATTTATCTTACCATGGTGCGTAAAACATGACTAGTGCAGTATCATGTTGAGCTAAGACCGACGAAAAGTCCGAATCTGTAAGGTCGATAACATCTTCCTCAGCAGCCTTGCATAAATAAATTACTCCTAATAGTAAAACTATTTTTAGTGAACTTAACATTTTAGAACTCGACAAGGTTTTCTTTTCGTACGTGTCTTCACCGACGAACTAACTGTACCTGCGAATAAAACGAAAATGAAAGGACAAGAACCGGAAAAATACACGTCGCGGATGATGCCGCAAAATGACACTTGCCGGCACAGCGTTGGCCATTTTTGATTGGTTCGTATGAGAAACGTTCGGAAATTAATATTTATTTATTTCATAAAATATTTGTTCAATATATTTTATCAGTAGTTAACAAAGACAAGAATATAATTTCGTGAATATTAATTACTTCAATTTAAAAATGAGGTTTCCATACATTTGACGATACGATTTTGGTTCTGTCAAAATTTGCGCTTGGGCCTCGAACTGGAACCTCGAACGAAACGAAATGCAGTGTTTCCATTATAAATTCATAAACTACTATTTAGTAGTTAGAACGTTCCAACTTGGAGATAAAGTAATACAATTTACTGTTTATAAACTATATTATTTTAAAATGCTATAATAGTAAAAAAAAAACACACCACCACAATTTTCGAATTTATGATTCAATTACCGTACATGTTGGTAACATGGTAATTTATAAAATGAAATAATGGGCATGATTCACTAAACTTCAAATATAATTCGACATCAGTTTCTTATATTCATTCTGTTATTAAAAAAATATGACAAGGATATATAATTATATTGGTACGATTTTCTATACCTAAAAAAAACGATATTAGTGACGATTTTGGCATGATTCTCTAAGCTTGAACTTAAATTTGATAACAGTGTATTCTTGTCATTTTCAATACAGAATGAAAATGAGAGACTGATGATGTTATAAGTTTAGAAAATCATCCCCGAAACTAAATCAATGTTTTTTTTTAATTTTAGCTAGACAGAATTATGCCAGAAATGGGTCCAAAGTCCATAATGTATAAAGTGTCTCACAGAAGGTGCATCCTGCAGCCACCTGTTGGTTGTATTAGTTTTCAATGTAAGTGGTAAATATGTGTGTAGAGTGGTTAAATAGAACGACCAATAAAGGTTTGACGCGGCTGCAGGCCACCTCTGTCGGAGAGACCCTTTTATCTTTAATATCCTAAACTCTTCCAAAAAAATACAGATGAATGGCTGTTGTAAAAGAGTTCAAATATTTAATGCTTAGCACGAACCAATATCGAATTCGTATCGTTTGCGAGACCGAAATGTCATTGTCAAATGTGTACTGATTTTTAGTTCTCGTAACGTACTTTGTGCCGCTGTTGTTCAAGTTTCCATACAAAATTTGACATTGACATTTCGGTTTGCAAACTATTCGAATTCGACAATGGTTCGTGCTAGGGGTACTGAAATAAGATTTTTTTACGTAAAAAGGTTTCGTTGTTAATATGGTTAGTATGTAACTCTAAAAAGTTGGCTGTCAATAAAAAATAAAGTATCTCATATTTGGAAAAGTTGCGAGGAATTCTACATCAAGTAGCTGGCAACTCTGTTCAAGCCTCTGACTGTCAGTTAGCTTCGCTGTCAAACGGAAAATGGCAGCGACGAGTGTTGTCGTTCTCGACAGAGGCAACAATACAACTTGTACCGTAAATCTTTTCGGTAAGTAATAAACATGTTAATAATTTCCTTTTGCTACAATTAATATAATTCACACTTTTCTATTAATTTAATTTTCTGTACTATCAGGGTGGTCGTTCATAGGGCCGCATAACCTTTACTTTTGTATTTATTTTCAATGGTGACGCGCGGAACTTTTAAAATTTTAAAGTAATTTCTGTAAATATTATAAATTTATTAATGGCATATTAATTCAGAGATATAGGACATCAATATCCTGAAAATTGGTGAAACCAATAGCCAATTCGTACTGTTTAAATTTATCTCTTAGGAGTTAGTTTTTTAGTGAATAGAATAAGTTGTCGGCAGCGATCATGACCTTGGTTATTGGATTGTAGGAAGTAAACTGTAGATACTTGCTTTTAAATTTTAGGTTGCTATTTGATGTACTCACAAAAAATATTCATAAGAGTCATACACAGTGATGCAATGTTATTACCATACCAAATAAATAAGCAAATGATTTAGTGTAGTTAATTAATATTTTTTAAATCTCATGTCATATTATTATATTCATAACTCACCAATCAATGAGTAAATGAAAGCAAATTGCACAATTATTGCAAATTAATATAAAAGAGTATTTTAATGTATAATTTTTGGACCATTTTGTAATACAGTTTGATTCATCATTTTATTGTGGATTTGTTTTAGGAGCTACAGTTGTATCATGGAGGGTCAACAATCAAGAACAGTTATTTGTAAGGTAAGTCAATAAAAAGTTAATTATTTGTGCCAGAACAATATTAAAGTAGCACACAAATATATGTTATTATTTCTTTAGATGAGAAAAGACTAATATTTTTTGAAAACCTAAACAGTGTTTATGAATCTATTTCGCTTATTACATACTATTAAATGTATGTATGTATAGACATTACTATCTTAGTAAGTGAATCCAATTTAAAATAATGCAATTTTACTAAAGGTCTATGTCATAGAACTCTTAAGCCCGTATTACAGAATGACAACTAAGTGCTGATCTTTACTTGAGTACAGTTAGAAAGGGATGTCGCTATGTGCTATATATAGCGACATCCCTTTCTAACTATGCTCAAGACTAGATCAATCACTGAGAATCTTTCTATAATAATTGCCTTAATGTCATAATATTGTTATGCATATCAGCGGATGGCATCAACTTTATTTTGTAGAAAGTCATTTTGCATTCACTCATTTAGCTAAATTTTGAAATCCAGATTCATCTTTGTATTGTAGTAAGTAGGCATAAGTTTAATATCCACTATAATTAAAAAGCAGTGCCATCAAATTGCAGACAGTTTGTCATACAAATATTTAATTTTGCTTTGTTTATATATTGTGCAGCGACAAGCTCACTGAGGTTGCACTAAAACCCATTGACTGCGAACAGCTATTATGCTTAAACAAATTATGTAAAATAAAATTTTACTAAAGGTTACTAATGCCTAATAAAATTCTGCCATCTTAACAGTATGCCACACAGTGTTTTAAGAACCTCGATTTTGTGACATGCCCTTTTTATCCCAAATTCCTGTAAATTAAGCTATTATAAACACTGGAAAAATACTAAAAATAATAAAATTTTCGATTTCCTTTTTTTTTCTTAAGAATAACGGCATATTCGCATAATATTTATACATGAAAATATTGAAGTTTGTTGTCCCTATGTAGAGTATTTTTAATGCAACCGAAAACGCGTTATGTACTAGTTATAAACAAAAACATTGATTAAACATAATTCCGGTATTAGGGTTGTCACTTCCAGAACTGAGTATTTAAAAATAAAATGAGTTCCTATAATATATGTTAATAAGCATTCTTTTAACATATGATATGACCTATTTATTGTTATTGGAGAACAAAGAGAATATAACTTATATAAATATTCAAAATGAAGTGAGAAAGCAGATGTGTTTACTGGTCGACGTAGTGCGCCCCAATTTGGGTACAACAAATGATGGCAATACAGCACGAATGGCTATGTCAGACAAGTTCCGCCAAAAATTTTCCCAAATCCTGGGGATCGAACAATGGCTGTTGGATGATCTCCACACATTACGTATTGTTTTGTCTAGCAATCATGTAATATAAGTATGTTGCTACCTATAATTGGTGTCCGATGTCCGTAAAGTGGCTTCCACACGATACAATTTTACGTCCAATTTAAGTGGCGTTCAGGTCAACGGCACACACCCGCTGTGTGTGCGTTGACTTGTCTTTTGAGAAGAAAGATGGAGCAACATGACGACAATATTATGTCTATTCGATCTGAACGGGAAATAATGGAGGAGATTTTATATATATATAAAGACTTGCCATGCCTTTGGGATGTGTCTAACCCATTATATAAAAATAAACAAGCAAGGCATAATTCCTTAGAGATTTTGCTGAATAAGTGGAAAAATATTGATAAAAATATTACTCTTTAAGTATATTTAAGTTTATGAATTGATATGAATTCACTTAAATATAATATAACTATATTTAAGTCACTCAATTGCTTTCTTTTTAATAACCATTGTTTTGGCCACAGTCTTCTATTTCTTTTTTTCTCATCTACATTTGTAGTTAGAGCCAAGATTAATCCAATTTTTTGCTTCTTGGAAAAAATCAAGAGGCATCTTAATACAAATAAGTCCGTTCAGCAGAGGCAACAAATAAAACTGAAATTGGCGATCTTGTTGTGTATGTGTAGACGGACGACCAGATTGTACTCAATTCAATCGGCAATCAGATTTGCAATCAAATTGTGTCATGTGGAAGGGGTTTAACGTTGCACAAAGTTTTAATTCATGGTGCCGATATTATCAAATCAGACACTATACCTATAGGGATGCTTTCGGAGCAGGCTGCGGAGACCGGAACGATAGGGAGCACCATACCCGAAAAATGAGCCGTGAATTTGTTTAATAGAGCGCTGGAAACATCGGTCCCTGTTATAACAAACATTCGAATGCAAGAGAGAAAAAATAATCAAAACTTGACACCATTACCATCTGCAGTAGTTTCTTTATTAAAAGTGACAGATCCAAGTGACGCAGTAAGATTGATGTGAGGATATTGATTTTGAGGACTACATCGATTCTTTCATTATAAATACAGAAATAAATGATTCATTGTAAATATTTATTTATGAGAAGTTATTTATATTTCAATTTCATAATTAAATGGACGGAATAAAATTTTTGTCAACCCTGAAAAAAAAAGATTTTAGCTCATAACTTCTACATAACGCGGTATTCGGTTGCAAAAAAAATACTGTGTATAGGGACAACAAAGCTCGATATTTTAGTGAATAAAATTCATCCGAATACGCCGTTATACTAAAGAAAAGAAATATAAATAAAAACTTGAAAAATAAAACATATCCTCTATACGATTTGCTTTAGAAGGCTCAAATTTTGTGGGAAAATCTATTGTACAAAGCCACATAACATACATTTAATCAAAACAAAAAAACATGTTGAATAGAAGAGTAACATTGTTTTTTTGAAAATTCCGGATCGAAAAAAGGGTTAACTTTGAAATTTTTTTTCTCGAAAACTACGTATCGTAGAAATTTTCCAGTATTTTTTCAGT